TACAGGCGCGTATTTATTTTTGTGTACCTCTCAGCTATTTTAAAAAAAAATGTTAAACTTTTACAGAATTTTGTTCAAAATTTGAGTGGGTTTGTTTGATTTTTGAGTTATTCTTGAGATCTGCAGCTTAAGGACTTTCAAAGGTTATTTTAGGCTCCCCTCCTCTCTGCCACGATCGCTGTGTTGTTTGTTTCTTTTACTCGTTCTGCCGCTACTGCCGCTGCACTGCCCCTACCGCCCACGTCCACGTCTGCGTCAGCGTCTATGCAGTAATCCGATACCGCAGCGATTAGCAGCGAATTTCTCTCCCGTTCTCGTTCTTCCTCTGTGATTCTTTCGACAACGGTAATTAGAACAAATGGCGAAAATAAACAGTTTCTGCGCTGGCAGAAGAACAGAAAAGCTGATGGCAGAAAAACAGAAAAGAAAAACACAAGAGGAAAAACAGAGGCAGAAACGTAAACCAATTAAAAGGATCGTCGTGAACAAGGGGAATGGGGGTAGGTGTTGTGATAGGGGTAAGGGGTAGTTGTACCGGGACGATGGGGTTTCCACTTACATATGCTGAAATCGAGTGGCACTGTTGCTGCTGCTGCTGCTTCTCCCGCTCTTCACTAGAATTCAGTTGATGGGTTGGCGTTGGCGGGTTGTTGGGGGGGGGCTGGGTGTCCGTTTTGTTTATTTAGCTGAGATTCCCGCTTATTGTTATTGTTGCACAGTGGAATGCGTTGGCTGTTTATGCTTCACTCTCGAAACGCGCTAATTGAGTGCAAATTCCAATGTTGCTGTTGTTGCTGCTGCTGCTGCTGCTGCTGCTGTTGCCGTGCCTCTCTGTGTGTGGGAGAGCGCCGCGCGGGATAACCGTTAATTGAGTAACTAGCAAGATCACTTTGCTGAAAGAGCTCAGGCAGGCAGACGGAAGAGAGTGATTGACTAAGTGCGTAAGAGAGGAGACACCTGCACATACACACACACACACACACACATATATACGCGCGGATCACGGATCAAAGAGCGAGGAGGGGGAAGGCAGTCGATGCTCAATTAGTTAGCTCGTAAATTTGCATATTTTTTTTTTCGATGATTTTTCACAGCTCACAGAGGGGGGCTGCACACGCACACACGTACACAGGAAAAAAATAAACTTAGCACAGATACGAAAATACAGTAACTGTTTCTTGGTTTCTTGGTTAATATACGATATACGCTACTACAACGCTCGCTCTCTCGCTTTGCTTTTTCATCAGAGCACACACCACACACGACCGTCAGCGCCGAAGTTTGTTTGGATTTTGAATTGAAATATTGAAATATTGCAGAAGTGACTCAGTGTAACGCGAAATTGAGCATCGGCTTGCCTCGGCTCGTTTCGTGTTCTCTCGGCTGCATGAATGAAAACAGAGACACGTTAGTATCTGCGGTAGCAGCGACGTCGACGGCGCTCAAGTAGGTGGTTGGCCACAGCGCTTGTTCTTGCTCTCTCTCTTTCTCTCTCTCTCTCTCGCTGGCTCTCTCTCCCTCTCTCCGTGCGGCTTATCAGCTGCTGCTGAGACCGGCATTTGCTGGTGTCTGTCTGTCTGTTTGTCTGACTCTGTTCTTGCGAGGGTTGTTTTTGCTCTTGCGCGTCGGTGGCCCCCGCGGTTGGTTGGGGCCGCGACGCTGCCATTGGATGCCGCCCGCCAACTGAGGCTGCCTATCACAGGTGCCCCCCAGCAACGGGGGTGGTTGCCTAACAGACCACTAACAGAACAGAGCCGAGCGCTGTTAAAGGCGCACCTGAGTAGTGTCCAGCAGGTGACCGACCACCAACCCCCCCTACCAACATATAGGTGGAGCTTGAAATAGTTTTTTCATCTCTGCTGCCCCCCGCACCCGCTATTTCCGTTCGGATGCGCTTCTACTGATTTGATTTGCCCGCTCTCTCGGCGACTCTCTGCACGCGTAACTAACCCCCTCTCCGGCACACCAGTAGACGTAGACCCGTTACAAATGAGATGTTTCTTGAGAAAAACAACAACAACAACAAAAGCAGAGACGGGGCAGAATACGAAGAAGCAACCACACGATGAAGGGGCTGCATAAATAATGCGCTCAAAAACTACTTTGCCAAGAGCCTTGGGTGGTGAAAGGGAATGGTAGCAAGAGAGCGACAATGCATCCCTTCTCCTGTAAGAGGTATTGGTGGGCAGGGGCAGGCATTATTCATACATAAAAAGCCAATTAAAAATTTATAATAAACCCCGCGCCAAATGCAGCAACCCCAAAAAAAACCAAGGAAAAGGATATGCGACCCACAGTGGCACAGTGGGACGAATCGAATGGGAAGGTGAGAGACACGACACGAGACACTGTTCGGGGAGAGGGGACAGTGGACCACCATAAGCATGTGGGAGTTTTATGGGTGGTAGGGGAAGATGGGGGGCGGCCAAACGCAACTAACGGTAAATTAGATGTAAAATAATGAACATTTCAATTAAAATAATTAATATTATGGTCAGGGTGGGAGGGGGATTCCTCTTTTGGGGGGATGCTGCACTAAGCACTCAATTAACCATTTTAATGTTTATGGATCAGGTTAGAACGAAGGGCTGGCGTGGGGGTGGTGTGCTTTTTAATTATAATTAAACATGCGAGCCGCCTGAGTGGGTGCTGTGCTGCCACCCACCACCCCTTACTCTCTGTCGCACTCTCTTTGGCTCTGGCCATGACATAATCACTTAGCCGCGTGCAGAGCCGCATTTAGAATTAATTCCACTCAAGTGCGTTCATCTGGCCCAGCAGCAGAGTGAGAGAGAGAGAGAGCAACAGAGTGGGTGGCAGAGAGACACACACAAGAAAAAAGCACGTGGCTCCGCATTCTCCGTTAGAGTACATTTCGCGAGCGCAACAAATTGCACGCTAATTGCTCATGTTCAATTAAGAGAAAAGGAGCCAAAGCCCGAGCAAAATCAAAAGCACTCGCCAACACAAGACTCCCCCACTCTAACCATTCCTTGACTCTGGCAAGGCGTATGAATTCAAGGTGAGGCAATTTAAAGATAGTCGCATACCTTGCTGACACACACACACAGCCAACCAACACCTACAGTGGAAGAGTGAAAACCAAAATATGTAACTGGAAATAAGTGAATGCCCCACCTTCAATTAATACGTCATTGGCTCTGGCTTCGGAATTCGACACGACACACAAACACACACACACACGGACACACGCGGTGTGCGCTTTCCCACAAGCCTGAACCAGAGCAGCAGGATTGTCCTGATGGAAGGTGGAGAGGGAGAGAGGCACGGGCACAGCAGCCAGGGCGGACTGCTTTTTGTTTTGGTTTTGATCCCTTGCGCAAATAATTGCCTAATTGTCTCTCTGTTCTGTTGTCTCACTCACTCTCTCTCTCCTTGTCTCCCGTGCCATGCATGCAAATGGCAGCGCATATTTCTTATACACAAATCCATTTCCATCTATTAATTGGCAGCCCTCCCTCCCTCAGCTGCTGGAGCAGCTGCTCCGCAGGACTCTGGGCCCTTTTTTTTACTCAATTAAGCGCTTCTGCAAATACAAAATGAGAAAGAAGAGGAGAAGCGGAGCAACGTTCCACTTGAATTCTAGCTGCGGTTTCGCGGAGGGAGAGAGGGATTAGGACACTGGTCTCGATTTCCATTTGCATTCCCATTTCCAGTCCCGTTTCCCAGGCGGCGGGGCTGAACACTCTGTTTGCATACATCATTAAAGATGGCCGGCTGGCTCTCTCTCTCTCTCTTCTTCAATAGTCCTCATCATCTTCCTGGCCCTTTCTTCTCTCATTTGCATTGGGAAATTATACTCTCTGCCATTAACCTGATCGCATGTCAACGCACGCTCCGATGATCTCTTTGACATACTCTCGCACGAACATTCTTATTGCAATTACTATTGATATTGATTGCTCTTCGGTTCGGCCCGTTTCTCTTTAAAATGCAAACAAGAAAAGCGACGACAGACGACAGGATACGGAACCAAAGCGCGCCTGATTGCAGGCCATTGTGCGACGTCATCGCAATATCAGATTTCAATGCTTAATTTACGGCCTGCGACTGTAATGTAACTGCGATTCCAACTGCACTTTAAAGTCCGCAAAAATCTTAACCCAAGCAAACCCACAGCCCACCCAACAGGACGCGGCACGGCGACATTTGCTCTTGATAAATGATACGGCGCCGCCTACGCGAACGCGTCAAGGGTTGCCGCATTTTGCGGTGCGCCACAACGCCGATCAAACGCGATAAACGTTGACAGTGGTCCGGTGCGGGTCCCGGGTCCGGGCGGGGTGAACGTTACGTTACGGTTGTGGCAACGGCAACGGCAGCGCCAGCGCCAGCGCCAGCAGCAGCGGCGACTGTGGTTGACAGTGCAAACGGTTGCAAGTCAAAATTAATTAGAATTTTTCAACAAGAACTCACTGACTGACACACACACACACACACACACACATACACTCTCTCCCATAGAGTATAAATGTGGCAGCCCCGCCTTTATAATGCCCTTTATAGCAGAGAGTTGCAATTATATGATGACACTTACGTACAAACACAATGAATGCAAAACTTTGTACCATAGTACCACGATTCTGACGATTTTCGGATTTTATAGTCCATCACGCAGGTGTCATATGCCATATCCCGGTGGTAGAGTAGACGCAATTCTCCTTCGGCCCAGAACTAATGTACCCCGGAGCAGGGGAAGGAGAAGGGTAATCACAAGCATAGCGGTAAATTGAAATCAGTACAAAACAGAACAGTGTAGAAGCAGAATACAAAACAAAACGTAAAAAACGATCATTAATCATCGGGCGAAAAGGGTTGACACGCTTCGCAGTGGCGGGCGCAGGGTGGCTGCCTCTGCCACTGCCACTGTTCTGTTCCTGTTCCTGGTTCTGCTACTGCTACTTCTTCCGTTGCTTGACCGGAGAGTCGCAGCGGCAGCGGCAGCCCCCCCAGCCACAAACAAAGATACGGGAAGGGAGTTAGCTTAATGCATTTAATGAACGAGACATTTTCCATTTCTTGCCATGTAAACGAGGAGCACTTGGGCAACGTATACTAGTTGCTGGGCGGAGAACCTTCCATCAACGATGACGACGACCCTGACGAGGGGGACGATGATTCCTGGTGGTCCTCCTCCTCTTCGTCGTCGTCGGAGGAGTCGAGCAGCCCCTGCATAATCTGCAAGCTGCGGCCGTTCACCATTTCCGTGAGGGTCTGCGCACAGCGCCGATCCTGCATCATCCGTTCGATTTCATTGTGGAGGGCGTATGGATCGCCCAAAAGACCATTACGCAGCTCCTTAATGCAGCGACGTTTGCGACGCTGGCCGTGCGCACCAGTCTGCTCCTCCAGCAACATATTCACGGCACGCTCCACGTTGCACCCGGCCTCGTTGAGACGGACTCGGACCAGGCCCTCCGGGTAGCCCATGGCCGTTATCACGCTCACCCGGCGCTCCACCTCCTCTACTTCGATTGCCGCAGCTTCTTTTGCTTCTGCTGCTGACGGTGCTATGGATACGACTTGCGTTGCTTTCGACATCTCGCTTGCTCTAACTTCTGCCTATGGGTTTCGCTTCTGCTTTGAGCATAGTTTCGATAGCTGCTTCAAGCAGAAGAAGAAGATGCTGTTGCCCTCTCTCGTGTTCCTTATTGTTTCTACATTCTTTTGTTGTTTTTTCTAAGCCACCAAAACCGCTCTCCCAAAATCTGGCCACGAGACGGAATTTGCATACCCTCACAAAGACTATACCATTTCGATCAGATATTTGAACTGCAAAGGTTGAAGCAATTTCAGCTCCCAAGTGTACATGGCCCATTAGTCCTACTCATGTGTATATCTATCTAATCAATAAAGATCACGAGTAAAAATCAATCAGAACAACTTTATGTCGGCGAAGGGTATACGAAATGCGACGCTCTGCTAAAGGTGATCTGCGACAGCAACAGCTTTGTTTGCCTCTCTCTAGTTGCTTCTCCAGTTGCTGCTCTCAAAAAATGCTCTCTCCCCTTCGTTTCCTTTTTAACTTCTTGTTCTGCCGCTCTCTCGTTTCTATAAACAGTTATATCAGACTGCTGTCGATATACATATGTATGTATGTACATATGTAGGGTGTTTAAAAAGGAGAGGAAAATATAATATTGTGTGTGCGATTGTTTTGGCTGCTTTTGGGGAAAAGGCAATAAGTTAACAACAATTATATTCACACACACACACACACACACAAACAAAAAGAACAGGCAGAGAGGGTCCCACAGCTGCTGTTGTTTTCCCTCTGCCACTGACTTTGACTTCTATGTATTTATGCGCTGCACAATTTTAAATAATCACCCCACTGGGAAATTTCAAGCAAAATACCCTTTCGTTCGCTCGCTCCCCCCTCTCTCTATCACTCTCTCTCTCTCTCTCTCTCTATCGCACTTTCTGTGTGTTTATGTGTTATTTACACTGATTTATTGCCATTTTCTTTTGGTTTGTTCTGTTTTTGGTCACTCTTCTTTGGCCCGGGTGGCGGGGGAAAAGGCGGAAAAGGATACGACGAACAAGTGGCCCGTAAAAAACACTGCCAAACCCTCATCTATCACAATTTCTGGTCCGTTCTGCTCACAGTTTTGGGTTAAAAACGCATTATTGTGCTTTTCTGGTAATTGAAGTTTTTAGTTTTCATTAGCCGGACAGGGGACAAGGGATACGACGGCGACGGCGACAAGGGACGACATGATGAAGATTGCAACAAAGAGATCTGCTGGAGGCTAATGGAATGGGAGGGAGAAATGAGAGAAAGTAAAATAAATAACACATTTAAATTAACCCATTAACGACGGTCGGAAAATACAGCAGCGAATACGGTTATGGTGTATACATACATATCGGACGAAGGAGATCCACCTACGACTTTTCCAAAAGGGGCACCAGGCACCAGGCACAGGGCACATATAATAACGGATTATCGTTACAGTCACCATTTTCGTGCAATTGTTTGCAGGCGCTGCAGCGGCAATTTTAAAGCGGAAATTGAAAAGTTTTCCCAGCGATTCCGTCCAGCGGACCTTTTTGAAATATGTGCGAAACGTGCACAGTTCTCGCCGATACTTATCAGGAGTGTTGGTGTCGAAGTCAGAGCCGGCAGGCCCAGCTTTGCCGATTGTTCGATTTTACAACAAATGGCAAAATCACTTAACACACCGTTAACACCCACATTAGTTGTACTTGGCCGCACACACACACACACACACACATACACATACTCATAGAAGCAGCCAGGAGCACGTGACAGTGTAAGGACGGGAGTAGGAGTGGGACAGCAACGTTCCACTTACAGTTAGAGTTTCAATTACTTTAGCCACCACCAATGCCCCGCAAGCAATGAAAAAAAGTCCTCTCATAATCGAATTAAAGGAGAGTGTGGCCAGTGGGAGAGAGCGAGAGCGCTACAACGTACGGACTCAGTCATTAAAAACGCAGGGAGAACGATTGCACGCAAATTTGCTGGTACCACCGCCGCCGCTAACCTTCCCCCCGCTGCTGATGGTCACACACATGCCAGGGAAACTATGAATGGAATTGGCAATCGCACGTGTCGCTCTGGTCACCCGAGATAAGCAACTGCTGCCGCGTGGCCCTCGCTCTAGATCTCTCCCTCTCTCTCACTCTGTGCAGAGAGAGAGATACCATCGATGCATCGGATGATGGACTACGATGCGAATGAAAGAGAGAGTGAGCGAGCGAGTGCGTTGCGTATTTATGACTTCGAATCCGATTTCCAGATCCATTTCCAGCGCACGATAATCGTTATTAATATTATTAGTGTTTGTTCGCTGCAGCCACACCCTTCCCCGCAGCGAGGGTACAATGACTGTGGCAGACGAGAGGCTGCGGGGAGTGCTCTGGCAGGACACTGCACCGATTTGAGTATTCTCTACAGGACCAATGAATAATTTAAATAGTTTGAAATTCCCATTTCAGGCAGTGTATCCCCGCCTTCGGTGTTCAATGTGCCCCTCTTGTGCGCTCGCAGTTTTTCTTTGTCCAAGGCGATGAACTGTGAATCGGAAAATTGAAGCTCAGCGCGACAGGAAAATGGCAGATAGATGGAATCTCTATAGATGGCAGTACTTGCAAAAGGCATTTCGACATATTAGGGCTAAAAGCCCTGAATCGGATCCATACTGCTCCCCCTCCCGAACCACTATGAAGCTCATGGCTTATCCTAACCAGAAATCCACCTCAAATTGACCCTTTCTCACCTACGCAAGAGGGCAAGGGCAAGCGGGCTTTCCCTACCCCTTACCCTAACACCTACCCCAGGATTTTCTGCCACGCACAAATTGACTCTGTGATCTGGATGCACTGAAAAATGGCATAATGAAATGGAAACCGAGCTTAGCAAATCACAAATTTATGAGGCAATCCATCAATGCCAGGCGGAACAGTTTTCAGGGGACCAGGGGACCACGACCGCGAGCGGCGCACCACTCTAATCGCTTCCCACGATCGGCAGAGGCACAGGCACAAGCACTGGCACAGGCAGAGGAAGAGCCAGAGAGGGAAGCATTTCCATATGTAAAATTGCGCCTTCATTAATCCGTAAATTAGAAGCATCGAATGATATCTGCGTCGCCTGCCCCTGTAGTCCGCCGCTGGCTGAAGTGCACTGCACCCCCTGTGCAGTCCCCTGAAACAAATCACTGCACACACACACACACACACAAACACATAGAGAATGCACGCACATGAATGCCATATGAAGGGCAAAGGCGACAGCCAAACCCAAACCCGAAATTCCCAACCCAACCCAATCCCACCACCACGGCAGCGCACAGTGGGCAGGTGGTGGCCAAGCGAGCGCCAAACATCCATACGAAATCTTAATCCACGAGCAGGAATAATTCAAACCGACTATTTATTTATCTAAGAGTTTACATATAAATTATCAGATATATTAAATGTTTTCTAATATTAATTCTCAATCGCATCTTAAATTTCGCCGGGTTACAGTGCGCAACTTTATTTGCCATTCCCTCCCACTGTGCGACCCGTCATCGGCTTGAGCCACGGCTTCGGCCTGTCACTGACATGTCAGCAGGAGAGAGAGAAAGAGAGAGAGAGCGAGAGCTAGCAGCAGCAACAACAGTAAATGGTTGGACAATCGTTGAAACGAAATGACATTTTATATTAAAACTGTATTAGCTAGACAGCGACACTGGCAGAGACGCGAACGTTTCGGCGTTGCGGCGGCGCCTGTCAAAATCAGCAGCGCGTTAGGACATTTGAATGAGAGGAGGACCGACCGACCGCTTCTCCTGGTTCTCCTTGTTCCCTGCCCGGACGGCACCTTGCCATCAAATTGCGCGCAGTGAGGCATGAAAAATGCGCCTGTCGGAGCAGAGAAAGAGCGTGAGAGAGAGAGCGAGCGGGACAGGACAGGACATCAGGACTCAATTCAAGTGTAAAAGGGGAGCGATGGGCAGCCGCGACAGCATTTGACATAATCAAATTACCTAATGGTCAGCGGACGGGATGCATCCCAGTTGTAGGTCGGAGGGGAGCGCTTTGGCTTTCCTTTCTCCTTCGATTCCCGAATGTAGGAAAACCAAGCAGGGCTTGCAATTCCCTTTTGGGCCTATCCGAATCGTCATACACAACGAGGCTTTTCGCACGTGGTGGAGCTCGCTGAGAGAACTAAATTTCTAGTCGATAAAATAATATTTTGCACAAAATTTGTTAGGTAAATCGAAAATAATGAACAACGAGGGCAACACGGCTGTCGGTTTCTTCAAGGGCATCCGAAAGAACATTGTGCCCGTCTCCCCCAATCAGAAGAAGGAGTTCAGAAGCCTAAGCCGCCCCATCCCCAGGCCCAGGCCCAGGAGAACCTTTCACGCGTCGATGAGGATTCGTGAGCAGACCGAGACGGATACCGAGAACGAGGACGAGTCCTCCTCAGTGCTGGAGTACTCAGCAGGAACTTCCTCCGGAACATCTTTCATCCGTTCGGAACTATCACTGGGAGACCCTTCCACACCACAAGACAGTTTGATGGAGCTCTTCGGGAACGGATATTGGCCAGAATCAGAGGACGGACAAACGCCAAGTAGCGGGGAGCGCAGGGAGGCATCCTCTCAGAGGTCCAGCCCCTGCAGTGAGACGGATGTACGAGCATGCTCGAGTACCTGTTATTCCGAGAACAATCTCGATCACTCTTCGATTGATGCTCTTTCGTCTTCTGTTCACGAAACGGGCGGCCCAGGATGTGCCCAGACATCTAGCCAGGACAATTGCAATGAAAGCTGTACTCATTCCCAAGGCAATCCCGATTGTCTGTCCTTCGGCGCGATCCTCGGAAGCGAAGGTGACTTCCGATATATGAGAACGAGACCGAAGCGAAGCTGGATGCATCTTTGGACGATGACAATCCGTCGACCAGTTCTCCGTCCAGTCCAGTCTCCTCCGAAATGAGTATCGACAGCAGCCAAACGGATATCGATACCACCGACGCGGATTTTGAGCAGGAGACGGAGCCAACTTCCACGACTTCCCTGGCGTCTACATCGAGCCAACGCCAATTCGAAGCCAGCGGCACACTGAAGCAGAAGCAGATGCTTCAGTTCCTGGCCAAGACCCATCCGTACCAGGCGTTCAGCGCCAGGAGCCGTGCAGCAACCGCTGCCCCCTATGACTGGGCCTGGACCTGGGCCCAACCATCGAAGAGTGCATGGCCGTGATACTGGACCGTTGCGCGTCTGGCCTGCGCAAGGTTTTCTTCGCAGGGCAGAGGCAGTTGGTGTAACTGGTGGGGCCACTTGTCGTCTCATCATACCCTCACATAAAGGTGACGCCTGCCTTTCACGCACTGATCTTTTCGATGGTCAAAAGGCAGGGCAAACCCGCGCCCCGCCCCGCCCATCTACATGATAATACGTTGATGAGGGAATATCCCGTAAATGCTTAATCGTTTATGGGCCCCATTTCATAGCCTGTTAACAATTAAAATGCCTGTGCTAAGAGTGCGGGAGAACTCACCTTGAACTCGGGCGTAGTGGGAGTGGGAGTGGCCGCGGGATTCAGCTCGATGTTGATGTTGTTGGGCTCCATGATGAGGCCCAGGCTCTGGAGGTTGCACACCTGCGGCATTTGCATGGTGGGCGTCGGTACCTTGAGCACGGCGACAGTGCAGTCGATGCTCGAGGCTGTCACCGTGGCCGTTGCGGGCAGCGTCTCCGGCATCCTGTCCTCTCGCCAATACGTTTATGTCTGTTGTTCCTCCGGCTGGTTCCTGCTGCCGTTGCGCTGCAATAAATGGAGAGAAGGAACGACACTTGATTTATTCAGACGGGAAGGCAGAGCATCAAAGGGGGGACACAGTAATGGCTCATCAAAGTGGGCTAAGAGTGGGGCACAAGACACACACACAGGTTTCTGGTTTTCTCGTTTAAATGCAAATTGCGTTTGCAATTTTATTTATTTAATTATTTATTTTTAGCGTTCAGTTTTGGTATAAGTTCAAAGGTCCAAAGTAATTCCTACGATTATCCGCCGTGCGGCGAATCTAATAATAGTAGCACAAGGCGCCTCTGGGCCCAAAAAATACAAAACGTACAAATACAAAAAAAAAAAACTGGATTACAGGATGAATGCGGTTTATAAATTAAAGGATAGGCAGCAGACACCATCAGTGCGGGGGTAGTATTGAGGGGATGTGGATCGAGGCTTAGGCCTGCTGACGTCTCCGAATCTCTTCAGGCAAATCCTCCAGCTTGACGCTCGTCTCCTGCCGCGTGGTTACCTCGCGCAGCTTGACCAGACCCTGGGCTAGCTCCGCATCGCCTAGGACGATAACCAGGGGAATCTGGTGCTCCTCGCAGTGCTGCAGCTGGGCCAACAGCTTCGGATTCAGCTTGTACGAGTGCTCCGCCTGTGGAATCAGAGATTGGGATTCGATTACAAGGATACTGGAATGGAAAAGGCAGCTCCCTAAGCGCTCCGCACCTTGATGCCTGCATCCCAGAGCTGGTTGAGTACACGCAGCCGCTGCTCGTGGAGACCCTTGTGAGCGGAGGCCACGTACGCCTCCACGTCGTTGGTGCGAAGCTTCACCTTGCTGGCCGCGAACCGGGCCTCCAGCACCGAGAAGATCCGCTCCACGCCAATTGAGACACCCACACAGGGCACGGCCTTGCCGCGGGGATCGAACATGCCCACCAGGCTGTCGTAGCGCCCGCCACCGGCCACAGATCCCACGGTGGCCTGCTCCGCGGGTTCCCCGTTCTGCTGTGCAGACTTCGTCGGCGAGCTGCTGCTGCTGCTGGGCTCCGCCTTGAGCACGCCCTCGTAGATGACGCCCGTATAGTAGTCGAGGCCGCGCGCCAAGCTCAGGTCGAAGCTTACCCGCTTGTCCAGGCCGAAGATGGAGCAGTACTTGAGCAGCAGCTGCATCCCCTCCAGACCCTTGACAGCATTCGGCACCGCCTTGAGCTTGGGGTCCGCCAGCAGCTGCTCCACCAGTTCCGTGCCGCCGCTAAGGCGCACATACTCGCCAATCCTGTCGGCCGTGGCCTCGTCCAGACCCTTTTCCGTCACCATCTCCTTGCGCACATCCGCCCAGGGGGACTAGAAAAAGAATCATCTCGATTAATGCATATCCACATTAGAGGTCACAGGTCAGATGTCTAGCCCCAGGCCTACCTTGTCCAGCTTGTCTACTGCCGAGCAGATGCCGCGGAAGCTCTCAGCCGGGACGCCGCAAGCCTCGAACATGCCGTCGAGGAGCTGGCGGTGGTTCAGCTTTATCACATAATCGCCAATCTCGAGGGTGTCCAGGATCTCGGCCACGATTTTCACGCACTCCGCGTCGGCCAGCATGGGGTCGTAGGTGCCGGCGATGTCGAAGTCACACTGATAGAACTCCCGGTAACGGCCGCGGGTCATGGCCGGATTGTCCCGCCGATAGACCTTGGCGATATGGTAGCGCTTGATGCTGGAAATCTTGTTCATGGCCAGGTAGCGGGCCAGGGGCACGGTGAGGTCGTACCGCATGGACAGGATCTCGCCGCCCTGGTCCTTCAGGTCGTAAATCAGCTTCGAGTCCTCGCCATACTTTCCAGTAAGCACTTCCTGCGTATGGGAGGGATAAATCTGTAAACTCTGGTCTGGTAGTTAGGAGGTGAGAGCGGGACCAAACTCACCTTCAGCTCAAAAACGGGCGTGTCAATGGCCTCGCCACCGTGGCGCTTAAACACCTGCACGATCTTGTCCAGAACGCCCTGGCGCAAGGTCATCTGCTGAGGGCCATAGTCCCGGGTGCCCTTGGGCGTCTTCAGGGTGAACTTCTGGCTGGCGGGCGCCGCATCGCCTCCTAGTTTGGCCTTGAGGGCCAGCAGGCGGGCGACTTCCTCATCGATCTGCAAGTAAGAAGCGGTATGTGGCGCTGCAATACTTGTGTCAGTGTTGGTAAGCGGTACTTAGATGCTAACCTTATTGATCTGTGCTTGTTGTTGTTGTTGTTCTTGTATTTCTTGTTGCTGTTGTGCCTCATGCTGATTTTGTTGTTGTTGTTGCTGTTGCTGTGCTCTTTCAATTTCGTTTGTTTTCAATTTCTGCTGCTGCGTCTGCTGCTGCTCTCCCAGAAATTTCGTTGATCTCGCGCGTACACCGCCAGGCGGCGCCAGCTGGTACGTTGCACACTGAAACGCAGCACTACAGCGCCACCCGCGGCCAATTGAACGCAACATATGTTTTTTGTTTTTGCTTTTTGTTTACTTTCAAACTTTGTTCGTTATTTTCGTTTCTCTCTTTCTATTCTGCTGATTTTCTCTTCTGCTCAAAAATTGGCAACAACTTTCTTTCGCAATTTTGCTTATTCAAACCTAATTAAACAACAACAACAATAAATGAAACTTGTTAAGGTTTGAACCTCTCTCTCTCTCTTTTTTCTCGCTTGCGGTTACTTTTTCTACTTATTTTATGACTAAATGTGTTAGTGACGAAACAAGGTGAATGTACAATAAAAACCAATGCGTGTGTGAGTGTATTATGTGTGTGTGTGTGCGTGTGTGTGTGCAGTCTAAACCAAATGGAATCTAAGCCAGAATTTAAAAAAAAAACAATACAAATATTGCGTTCCATTGACCGTCAGGCGCTGATGCGTTTTCTTTCGTTTTTTATTAAACACTTTTTTATAGCACTTGAACACTCGAGGTGGGGGGTAATCGGAACGGAACCAAGTCAAACAGGAAAGTGACGCGCGGCGGCTGGACGGGTGGGTGGACTGTGGGGTTTAAGGAGACACAGTTCACTGAACTGAACTGGTTCTCGGATCCTTTGCACCGCTTGTATCAGGTGCTCCGCCAGATGGCAGCACTGGGGTGGTGGGGGGAACAGCTGATCTTGCATTCACACACATGCACAGCACACACATATACACACACACACATGCAGAATTTTGACATTAGACATCGAGTTTCTTAAAAGATAATGCGGTCTAGCAGGTTTTTTTTTCGTAGAGAACAGCTACTATAACCACCATGTGCCCGCTGCATATGCCTCCTGCTTGACCAGTCTCCATCAGACGCCAAAGTCAGTCAGTCAGTCGGTCACACACACACACATTGAATAATAGTCCAGCAACAATGCCAGCGGCCAAAAAGCTCCCTTGACAACTGTCCGAACGTGGATGGATGTGGAGATGTGGAGTGGAGTGGGGTTCAAGCGGGGAATCGTGCATTTGGATGTATAATTTAAGAGTGCAATGCCACAACAACAAAAAAAAGAGAAACAACAACAGAAGCAAACGAGAATGTGAAAGTTGCAGAGCGCGCGCGCTCATTGTTTCTTTTGTGTTCGCATTATTGCTATTTCTGTTTCTCCTTCTGCTTCTACTGGTGCTTGCTCTGCAATCAATCTAATTACTGTAAAATCCAATAAATTGAACTGCCAACGCAGCAACTGAATCACAGCAGCGGTGGCCCAGAGCGGCAGTTGCGTGGATTCTGATGCCATAAAAGCTGACGAAATCCCCAACCGTGATTGCACCCTGATGGTGCAACAGGGTCTGGGATTAACTGAGCGGTGGCAAGTTGTGTGTCGGGGAAGGGCACAGAGGGATTCGAGCAATTTCAAGAACAATTGCATTATTTCTATGTACACACACACAATGGTGGTGTGGTCATTGGTTACGGCCAGTGGCTGGTGCCGTAGAGTGGTAGAGTGGCATGCATGCATATGGGCAGGTGGGGGGATGCTGTGCGCATGTAGCAAACAGAACACTGACCTTCTCCTTGGACTCCTTGGCTCCCTTCAACTGACGCACGAGATCGCCTTGCACTTTAATTTGCTCCAAAATCTGTTCACGCGAATCACTCATATTCCGGACGAGTGCCAGCCAAAGACAACAGAAAAATCGGCAACTTGGGTATCACAGCAATTGCAGGGTACACTTTTTCGTGGCAGTGGCAAATGGCGAGGCGCGCGACGCAAAGAATAAAATTTTTATTTAGCTGGCCAAAACGTTGATGGACGCACGAGGTTAGGGATGTTTGATATATATCGATATATTTTGCGTTGATGTGATATTTTCTTGTGGGATATATATTGTCAACGGAACTACTTTTCAGAGCGCTAAGATAATATTGTTCTGTTGCTATACGCCGATAGATCAGTTATATCCGCAACTTTTGATTATACTGTATGTTGAATCGATGTACAGGGTAAGCTTGAAAAAATATCGATACTTTTGTGCGATAAGCGAAACGAATTCGGCGGGTACATAGCTTTATTTTGAAAATAACAATATTATATTGTTATTATTTTAAATGACAATCACGACTATGGTTAAAAATACCATATTTTCAGCATGAATTCTAGAAATGATCGCATGAGTTCGAATTCAAAACAGATCCACTTCCATAAACAGCTTTCAAAACAAACACCAAAACAGCTGTTAGAGCATTAGTAACGCCTCAAAGTCTGACTCAAGCTGCGCTCTGGCACGCAGACGCAGACCCACGCAGATTGCAATGCGTCAGCTGAGCTTCTTTGTTCTTTAAAATGGATTCTCTCGAATATCAAGGCATATTTATTTACGGGCAGGAGTTGCCTACTTGGAGTCTCTCCTTTGATTTGAGAGCGCTCTCGGAGAACGTTCACACCTGTTAAAGAACAGACCTTATCAGAGCTTATTCTCTGCGCGATCTCTCTCTCTCTCGCTGCGTCTCTCTAGCGCGGTCTTCAGGTGTGTGTGTCGTGTGCATAAGCTACAGTTAGATGTGTGTATAGATGAAAATCGATAATAGATGGAGCAGGCCCAATTTTCAGCGAAGCGGAGTCGAAGTGCGGCCTCGGGATCCCCGAAGCTGCATCAGTCGGTCGCGAAAACTGCTGAGTGACGGTTGGGCGCCCTGCGACATTAAATATATATCTTGTCACACACACACAAACGCACAAACCATCAAGAACTAACGGCGATCGGTGATCCGTGGATGAGAGACTGAACCCTGAGCCCGCCCAAAACTTCTTCGGCGCAGCATTTTGTTATAATTTTAATTTTATTGTTGTTTTTTTTTTTTTAAATTTGTTATATTTTGTTTTTTTATTTGCTTGCGACCGTTTTTTTTTTTTTTGTTGGCGTTTCGGTGTTTTTATTTCGGATTTATTTTTTGCGGTCAAGGCTTAAACCTGACTGCCGGCAGTCGACCGATCAATCGCTTTGTAAACGTTTAATTTGTGTTAATATTTTGCGGCTCGTTGGGCAGGCCGAACACGAAGAATGAGGTAAGAAACAAGGCTGAATGAGAAGCGGGAGGCATCCCAATACATGATGTGCAGGTAACGGAGCTTGTGCATACATATGTACATACATACATATATCGATTTCATTTTGGTTGGAGAAATATACATATGTACATTCTTATCGAAGGAGATTGCAGCATGTGTGTATATCGATCCCGATCTCTCTTTGAGGAGCAATCTCTCCACTTTATGACACTTCACTTGTGTAAATATTAGAAACAGAAAATTGAAAAAAACAGAAAGCAATGTAGAGCTGGCAGAATGGCAACTGTTTCTTCTCTCTCTCTCTCTCTCTCTCTCTCCATTTTAATCAATTCTTAGACACGTGTGTTGCCTTAGATACAGACAGAGACATATGTATCAGAGTATTACAAGAAACCAAAAAAAGAAAATGAAAATAAAACTAATCACAGAAACCAACAACAAGACACAGACGTCAGCCGCTGTGCTGTTCTTCGTGTTATTCTCTTATCGAGAACTTCTGCATTGCTCGCTTTTTTTTTTCTTGTGGCTTTTTACTGCAGGTGTAAAAAAAAATAACGTCAATTAGCGGTTTTTATGGTTTATGGTACCCAAAGTTTACGATACCCCGAATAGCTGATACATAGTACCGGGCTAAGATATGGGGGGGGAACCATGGGCAGCCAGCCCATTCATTCAGCAGGAAATCGCTGGGATATTAACTGATAATATACGTATGTAATACTATATTGGGTTCTTCTGAAGACATTGCTGAGAAATCACAAAAATTCAATTAACAATTAACGTAAAATTGTTGATTTTACAATACAAATATCCGAATTTAAACGATCATTATTATTCGCAGTATATTCGCAGCATCTGAAACTGGTTTTTATTTATTTTTTTTTCATTAGCAAAAAGTTCCCCTGACCTCTGGAAATATATGTATGAATAAATTATAGAAATCGCTTGGCAAGAGCAGCGGTGGGAAGCAGCGTGCAATTATTTTTGCTTGGGGCTTTGCAACTGTTGAGCAACAGCTAGAACTGATATAAAGCACTCAATTACTCAAAGGTACAGAACTACAACCCTTCCCCGTCCTGCCTGACTTCACAGCGGGCAGGGGGAGGGGCGTTTTTATCTTCATGGAATTGGTAGCAAAAAACGTTTTACTTTTTTTTTTGGCGCAATGAATTTTTGCTTTGATCAAGCAACCAATGACGGTGCACTTCCCCCCGTCACCGATTGATAAATAGTAGAAATTTGTGTTTAATTTCTTGTCGAGTGTTTGCTGTTTGATGATTGCTTTCGTAATGAAAATATGTTCGTTCCACTGCAGGATTTTTATCTGGAATTCATCTTCAAAGCATCTTGAGCATCCCTCCCACATCGGAACTTTCAACAGTCGAGAGCATCCCCTGATGGTTTATCACTGCTTATCATTGTGGCAACTTGTCCCAAGTCCAAGTCCAACTCCAAGTCCCGGTCCCGGTCCAAGTGCAAGTTCCATAGAAAATCCCTGCCCTGTCACGAGCCACCACTTGAGAGTCTCCCCACGCTTATCGCAGGACGACTAATTACGAGCAAAACCGAAAGCAGATCTAAAGCTCTAAAGCCGTTTTATGGCTGCCAACCGCCGCGCCGGCGTTAATGGCTAAACGGCGGCAAAGCAGTTTCAATTGGAGGCCCGAGGGGCCTTCATGATCCGCTCAGAAATTGCCAAAAATGAATGAGTTACCGCCTTAATCTGCGTACGTACGGTCGTATCGTGTCGTATCGTATGGATCACGTATCGCTAGGATGCGATTATACGCAATGACGGACATAATTATAATTGCTCGCCCTGCCCACCCCTTCTGCCCACTGGCGGCACACTCTTCTCCGGCTAAATCTACGTTAATTATAGAAAATGGCTTGTTAATAGCACTTGTTGAGTTTTTTGTGATCCCCTCGTTGGCATTTTTATGAGCGCCAGCGATCAAGCGACCAACGCTATCACAAAAGCCGATAAGAATGGTACACACACGAGCAGTGGCATGGGCAGGGGCAGGGGCAGAGGCATACCCCCACTCTGACTGCCTGCTTGCCGGCCTGCCGCCCCCCCTTCCGGTGAGGTATGCGGCCTGTGTGGGTCTGTGTGGGTCTGTGTCCCCCAAGTGCGTGATGATGACCAGCCAAAATTGGTAGACACAACAAGGAATATTTTCCCGTGTCACGGCCACTCGAGAACTGGACACTCATTTATCCACGATCGATCCCAGATCCCAGATAGGCGTCGGAGCGGCGCTGCATTATTTATGCCCTGGATTCCCAGGGTGTCGGCTACGTGTATGCCGGTATCTCGGCCTGAAATTTGCTTCGGGCTGGCGGCTATTTACGGATCTTCTGCCTTACTGCCTCAGGGTCAGGCATTTCCATCCGTTTTTTGTTTTTGGTATTTTCTTTGGTCTCACACCCTCCTGGATTAATCCTTGGAGTTCCACTGGTTTCCTAGAGACACTTTCGTCTATAGAAATTATGTAATCTGATTTCGCGGCACGGTTGCCATTAAAAATTATTTTAAAATAATTTTAAAGCTTTTTTGTATCTTTTGTGGCTTTGATCTTCATCGATCTTCATCCTGGAGTTTCATTCTTGTTACGTTCTTGCAGTGGGCAACCATTTTGTGTAGGGTATTGCCGCATACCTTCTGGTTGGTGGGCGATTCGACTCGCTGACTCGGCGATTTGCCAGCACCAGCGATCAAAATCAAAACATTAGAGAGGCAATCAGCAAGCGGAGATCTGCAGACCGATAGGGTGCTTCGATTAAACACTCGACCAAATCCCACTTGAACCACTCGAGCGGAGAACGGGTCTGTGGTTGGGGCTGGGGCTGGGGCTGCGGGTTGGCTGTGGACTGTTGACTGTTGACTAAAGATTTATCACTGAGATTGCTCATTGCATTTGCTTTCAGATTGGTGTGCAACAAGAAGACACTGCTATGGTTGCTCCTGGCTGCTGTCCTGGTCACGGCCCTGACGCTGGGCCTCGTCTTTGGGTTGAAGAGCAGCGGCACGCCCCTAATTAGCGGCGCTGTCGTCTCAAATGGCATCGGCTGCGCCGCCATTGGCGGCAACATGCTGGAGGAGGGCGGCTCTGCGGTGGATGCGGCCATCGCCACACTGCTGTGCGAGGGCCTGCTGCTGCCCCACTCGATGGGCATTGGCGGGGGCTTTGTGGCGACCATTTACACGCGTAGCACGCGACGCGTGGAGACGGTGATAGCGCGCGAATCGGCGCCGGCGGCGGCCCACAAGGACATGTTCGTGGGCCAGACGGCGATCACGGGCGCAATGGCCGGAGCCGTGCCCGGCGAGATTCTCGGCTACTGGGAGATGCACCGCAAGTACGGTCGCCTGCCCTGGAAGACGCTCTTCCAGCCGTCGATCAAGCTGGCGCGCGAGGGCCACGTTGTGTCCCGCTACCTGGCGGCGGCCATCCAGTCGAAGCTGAGCGAGATCCAGGACGAGCCGTCGCTGGCCGCCATGTTCCTCAATGCGAACGGGGAGGCCTACGTGGAGGGCGACTACATGAAGCGCACCACCCTGGCCGACACACTCGAGCGGATTGCCGAGAACGGAGCCAGCGAGATCTACGACGGCGGCGAGACGGGGCGCAAGTTCGTCGAGGACATCCAGAAGCTGGGGGGCATCATCACCGAGCAGGATCTGAGGGACTATCGCGTGCAGTGGGACAGCGATGGCCACATCGCGGCCAATGTGACCGGCGGCTACACTCTGTACACGACGCCCCTGCCCAGCAGCGGCCCCATTCTGGCCTTCATCCTCAACGTGATGGGTGACCTGTACACGGACGACAAGGGCGTCTACTGGCAGCGTGCCGTGGAGGCCTTCAAGCATGCCTACGGGCAGCGCACGCATCTGGGCGACTACCTCAGCGATCCCGTTAGCGGGCCCAGCATCCAGGAGACGCTCGAGAAGATCCTCAGCCCCGAGCTGGTGGCCGATGTGCGCAAGCTCATCCACGACGACAGCACCTCCCAGGACAACCTCTACTATGGGGCCAATTTCACGGTGGAGCCCGATCACGGCACCGCCCACATGAACGTCCTGGCCACCAACGGCGACGCCGTCTCCATCACCAGCACCATCAACAACTAGTGAGTGTCGGGGGGGAATTCCAAATCCCAATCCGCAACCGAATCCGCTGCTAACAAATGTTTTTCCCCATTGCAGCTTCGGCTCCAAGGTCGCCTCCGCACAGACGGGCATCATACTGAACGACGAGATGGACGACTTCTCCACGCCGGGCGTCATCAACAGCTTCGGCGTGCCCGCCTCACCGGCCAACTACATCTATCCCGGCAAGCGTCCAATGTCCTCGATGTCGCCCGTCATCATTGTGGATGGCGACGGGAATGTACGTCTGCTGGTGGGGGCTGCTGGCGGCACCAGGATCACCACTAGCGTGGCAATGGTACGACCACAAATTGATTTACTTCGGGCATATCAGCAGAGTACTTATGTTTGGGTTTTTGTTTTCGACTGCCGCAGGTCATAATGAAGTACCTCATTCGCCACGAGACCATGGAGCATGCCGTCAACGATGGCCGCATTCACCATCAGCTGGTGCCCATGCGCGTCCACTATGAGAGCGAGGTGGAGAGCGATATTTCTGATTATCTCGAAAAGGTGGGCCACACCATGTACCAGGAGCCGGCAGGCTCGAGCTTTGCAGCCGTCACAGCCATCGGGTCGCTGAATGATCCGGAGCCGTTCTTCGACCGGCGCCGCGTTGGCAGTTCCCTTACCCTGAAGAACCGTAACAAGATGCAGCACTAGGGGAGCGCATGATCGCTGATCGGTGCTCGTGATTTCGGTTTTATTTATTAAAAATAGTATTATTATTAGTCACAATCAAGGAGGAGAAATGCAGAAACTGTATATAATTGTTGAAGAATATTTCGAATAGAGAACTGAGTGGCTTCGATTTTTTAATGTAAATAACTGGCTTGAACAGCCGAATAAATTTATTCTGTTAACCCATTCTGTTTTATTACAATTCAAATTCAATTTTGAATGTCAACTGCTATCGGCGCCGCTCGGCTATCGGTCAGACAATCGCTTTTGCAGCTCACGGGTACCAATAATAGGACTCAGAACCGGAATATAAAGGATATAAAGCACAAAAACATCTCAATCTCAGAAAAATGCAATATTAATGTATCAACGCAGCTTGGAACAACAAGTTTAACATCAATTAAAGGAAATAGGGTGTACAATGTCCATACGCATGGCAGAAACTTCGTTGACAAGCAACAATGACGTCACATTCCGGTAAACACTTTCGTTGTATGCTTTGGCCGTTTTTGCTTGAACCTTATTATGTAAACAATCCAATGAACAAGAGTTCTGAAAACTAGCCAATCTTATGCAAAACTTATTGATGAAATGTATAAAATTATATGTTTAGGGCTGAGAATCTTAGCTGACTGGTAATATTAAACCGAATATCAAAATCGAGGAATATCAACGCAAAATAGCCCACGGTGAGTTATGTGGTGAGGTTGCTTTTATCCTTGAAAGCTCTGGATTTTGTGACGTTTTTCAACTGGGCCAACCATACCTTTACTTTTCTCAGCATTTAAAAGTTCCCTTAAAGCTTTCTTCCTTAAGAGGAAGAAACAAAACGTGGATATGATGAAATGTTTGTCATCTTGCAATGATCGATTTTATAAACTTGTTTGTATTATGAAGATGTATATGCGAAAATTGTCACTAAATTTATAATCTATCTAAATTAATATTGCAATTCTTCCAGCTACCAAACGGGGTGGAGACATATATAGATTATAATTTAGGTCAAAAACATGCCAATACGAGTAAATTCATTCATACTTAGGTTTTAAAGCAGCTCAAGCTGCTGTGTTCCAATTGGAATGCAGAAGTTTAACAATATTAAAATTAAATTTCCCAATTGGGTATAAAAAGTGCCATATGTAGCAAATGTGTAGTTACCGTGCACAAAAATCAAAATTTTCGCTGACCTTTGTTCAAACCTTATTTAATATGTAATCAAATAATTAAGAGTCTTTAAAATAAACCAGATGGTAGAAAATTGATATATCTATCGGATAAAATTATATTTTCAGTCGTTTAAGTCTTAACTAGCTAGAAGTATTAAACGGAATATCAAAATCGAGGAATATAAACGCATCTTGTCGTGTCCGTCAGTATAATTACGGTATATTTTGTTAATGAGAAGGTATGTATATTTCGGTATACAAATGTCTGAGGTCACACTTATTCAAATCACCTGCAATTGCAATTAAAATTTTAATCAATATTTATTTATTAAAAATAGTCATGGATAACTTGAATGAATTGACACGCGAAGATATATTGGAGCAGTTCAAAAAAGTGAGTATCCCTTTTCATGCAGGACATACATGCATACATTCATATGAAAATGTGTATACAGTATGAAACAATGTTTGTTTTTTTTTTGTTTTGCAGAGGGAACTGCATTTAACAAATGCAAAGGATTTGTCACTGGAAGAACTACTGGTGATATACAAAGGATTCATTGTGCCGCTACCACGCCGCGAGCCACGGGATCGCCGTCCCCAGAAGCCCATGGAGATCGATCAACTAACGGAGCGCATTAAAGTGGTGTCCATGGTCGGCAGCAAGCGACCGATTGAGGAGGAACCCTGTTGTTCCCATCAATCTATCAATGATGCCAAGCAAATCAAGATGGACCTCCAATGACCCCCGCTTGACGCTACGATAAGGAGCGAACCGAAATAGGCATTTCCCAACAGTGCGCCAGCCGAGATGCATCGCCTGCTGTTGCTCCTCGGGCTGCTGTTCTTTGTGGCTGCCGCCGAAGTTCTGCCGCTGGAACCGGACTTGGAAGGCTACCAGGTGGTCCTGCGACGTGCCGCCAATCGGTCCGATAAGCTGCAAGTCTTTCAAAGCATTTGGGGGGCCATACGGTCCGATTTTATCGATGATACCGACAAGGTGAAGGGTCTTTACACGCAGCTGGCCAACTTCATACGCAATGAGATGGCGTGTACCAGTGGACCGACGGGACGCTCGGCCTGTGAGCTGCAGCAGGAGGTGCGACGACACCTACGGTCCCTGATGGCCCAACGCCTGGCCAATCTCATCAATTCCGAGGAGAGCATTCAGTCGTATGGCATGTATGTGGGATCCAGCATTGAGCCGTCCCTAGTTCGTGACGTTCTGGAGCATGCCATCGAAGACGTCTACTTCCACCGGCCGCTGGAGAAGCTCACTCTGCAGCTGGACCAACTGTACACGGACAGGGACGAGGTCAGCTTCAAAATGATGATCGAGGCGCAGCTATCACTTTACTGGCGCTATCAGACCATGCACGACAGCAACGAGGCCTTCCTGTTCAACATGGCGCATGCAGTGAGCAAGATCCAGACCCATTACATGTATGCCAGTGTGGACACATCGCTGCAACGGCGAGTAGAGGCACTGCACAGCAGTCTGCCGCCGGTGCTGGGTGCCCTCTTCCATCCCCAAGGCTTCTGTCTGCTCAATCGCGACAATCGTGAGTATGTGTATACGACCATCACGGATGACTGGAACTACGGCCTCAACGGACGGCAGGTCTTCACTTGGCACGAGAAAAACTATACAGACTCGGCGGGTCTCATTCGAGCCTTTGTCCAGGAGCAGCACTCCACGCCTGTGTTTACGCTGCGCGGTGAACTCTCCAAATGGTACTTCTTTGTGGATCCCAGCGAGGGTAATCGCCTGGGTGCGCTTCGTTCTGGCAGTCCCAGCTCGTCGACCAGCTACTGGACCATCACTTATGTCGAAAATGCCCTCATATTTCGCCAACGCGATCTCACACTCTGTTCCGCTGAAATGTTTGACAAGGAGCGACGTCTGATCAAGATGCTGCCGGGACAGTTGCATACGCCACCGTCAGAGGCATGCCAGTGGCTGCCCGTAAACTGTGCGCCGTCAAAATGAAAGAGATGGCAATTAAAGTTATTTTTCGATTTATTCCTAAATGATTTCTTTTGTACATGAATAATTTACAGATGTTCGAGCCAATAAAACAATGTTCAGAAAGAGAAAATCATGTTAAGTGCGTTTGAGTGAGTTTTCGAGAATCATGCCGTGGTAAGTAAATTGCAAGGGCAGTTAGTTAGTTAGTTGTGCTGTTTGTATATAGCTGTCAGCTTGAGGTCAGTTCTTGAATTAAAATAAATCGGTCATTAAGCGAGGTGGTGTGTCCTGAATTAGCAAATAAAGTCAGTTAATATTAAGTAGGTCATTGAAGGAACTGCAAACTTGAGGTAGTGCAATGGAACTTTGGTTCTGGGATCGATTTGAAATTGATTGCATGCGTTGCACATGAATATCTCTATGACTTAACTTCTTTTTTGGCATTTACTAAAATTAAACGGTCAGCGAACGAAGGAACTTTCTCCAGTGTTGGGTCGAAAACAGGCAAAACATGCCGATGGTGCGATGCAGAATGAAATTCATTCAGCCTGAGCTGCCTGAGTGTTGATTCTGCTTCATGGCAACTTGACCAAAGTACAAACCCATATCAAAAATATGCAATCTTATCTTAGTCTAATGAGTCTTTTGATTCGTGTGGATTGGCTCTTTTGTGTCTTCTTATTCCTGCTCCATGTATTCGTCGTCATCGGTATCAGAATCGTAGGGCTGTTGGATGTTCGCGCGTAGCGTATCTCGTTGGTAGGCGGGCGACTGTGGCTGGGGCACAGTCGCGCGACGACGATCCTGACTGACGTTAAACCTATTGCCGGGCAAGGGCCGATAGTGCATGCTGCACTGCAGATAGTCCTCGGCCTCGTTCAAGTCGGCCGCCTCCATCGACTCTTCTATGGTGCGTGAGTAGTCATCGATCTCCTCGTCGAACAGATGTGGTTCCCCATTGGCAAAGGTGGCGAAGCGCAGAGGATTGCGCAGGCTGCTCATTATGTTCCACTGCCTGCAATCGGGACTGTTGACGAACCGGCGCAGCTCCGCCAGTGAACGTTGCGTCTCTTCAACAGTCTGCTTGTAGTACTCGTCATTTGTCAGCAGTCGGCGCTTGGGCGGAAAGCGGCGTCGATAGAACGAATGGCCATAGGCCAAGAGCGATTGTGGGAAGTAGTATGCCGCAAAGACGGATACCATCAGAAACAACACTCCACTAGAGTGCCAGCTGCTAAAGTAGGCCAGGGCACCACCAACCGCCTGGAGCAGCCACATGATGATGTTCTGGGAGCGCGGATTCTTCGGTGGGCCAATGCGATAGCAGATGAGGAACGAGATGAGGCCGGTTATTATCAAATACCAGACGACATAGTCGCGATAGGTCAGTAGAATTAGGCGCATGTTGTCGGCCAGCTGCTTGAGTATATACAATCCAATTGTCCAGCCTCCAATAAGGACGCCATACATCATGGGACGTCTGGGAAAAAGTTTAGATGTTAGTGAAATTATGAGCAGCAGCGAGCCACAAATGCCCAGCATAATGCCAGCCAAATAATAGAATATACTGTTCTTGGCCAAATTGCGGCTGCTCCAGAAGACGATAACCCCCAGGCCAAATTGTAGAAATCGCCACACATCGAACTGAGCATGATGGAGTCTCACGTTGTAGGGCTGCCTGGAGGCAACACCAATGCACTGAGGATCAAATGGTGAAAGATGTATCCGTTGACGCTTCTGCGAGAAGAGCGTAAAGCTGAAGAGGGAGCGCTGCTCGTTGTAGTGATCCAGCACCTCCTGTGGTGTGCGTCCGCCGTACTCCGAATAGTCATCGTTGCCGATGCCCAGCAAGAACTCAACCGTCTCGAACAGGCTGAGCAGCGAGAGCGGCTTACCAGGATAGCAGTACGTCCTCAGAGTATTTGATCCATAGCCATTGGCCGTGATATCGATCGATGTTCCCGGCGCCAAAAACACGGTGTCCGTAACGGGGGGCGGGGTTGCGGCAGCGGTAGCGGCAGCGCATATCGCCATCAGTGTCAATATAAAGATGGATCCATGCCTCACACCTAGTTGAAACATGTCTATGCACTTTAATTCAGATAGCTGCCACAAAAATGAAATAAATAACTTCGAAATGGAATATGCAGATGATGGATGTTGTGTATCGATATATACCCAGAGCGTTGGTATTAGAGGTGGAGAAACATCGATGAAAACATCGATGCATCGATGTTTTTCAATTTTTTGGAAATATTGAATACAAATATGGAATACAATATTTTGGAAATTTTATTCATTGTTGCGTCATTCCATACGCGTTCCCGTAAGATGCATTGTTGTGCAACTTTGGCACGGGATGAGAAAATGGGAAAATGGATTTTATGGACTTGAGATATTGTTTGTAATTTCAGGCTAGAATTAATGCAGAAACTACTCAGACTCTGTTTTAAAGATATTAACGAAATTTTGCAGCTCAAGGGTTCCAATAATAGGTATCAGACTCGGGATAAATGTATATATAAAACACAAACATGTGCATTCATAGGTAAAAAACATGTCAATCTAGGATAAAATCATAAATAATATTTCAATGAAGCTTGGAACATAACATTTAGCATCAATTAAAAGAAATAAGGTATACAAGAGTTCATACACATAGAAGAAACTTGGTTGACCAGCAACACTGACGTCACAGTTAGTCAACATTTACGTTTTATGCTTTGGCTGTTTTTTTTTTGAACATTTTTATGTAAACAATGCAATAAAAAGGACTTCTAAAAACTTGCCAATCTTGTAGAAAATGTATGTATCCATCGGATAAAATTATTTGTTTAGGGCTGAGAGTCCCAGCTAGCTAGTAATATTAAACGGAATATCAAAATCGAGGAATATCAACGTTGAATGTTTTGAAAAAACAATCGATACTATCGTGATAGTATCGGGCTCAAATAATTATTAAAAAACCATTGAAACCTTTTAGGAACTTGTCCATTGTAAAAATTAGATAGTGTCGATTTGTTTACAAATGTCTCTTCGTATTTTATAGCAGCCAATCCAAACAAATCAAAAGCGCAACGACTGTAGCTCGATACTATCATGATAGTCGCAAAACCGTCGATAGTAGAGGCTAGCAGTACTATCGATAGTTCCCTCGATGGTTTGACATCTCTAGGCCGCTGGTTACGATTTCAGCAGCAAATTTCCATTGTATTCCTTTTTTTTGTCACACTCCAAAAAGAAAAAAGGTGAATTTTGCGTGGATACCAATTGTTCTCCGAGTTGGAACCGATGGCGGTGTTGTGACTTGTGCTAGGATTTTGTTGTGTGCCTGCAAGGAGAAAATCAACTGAACGCCGCCTAACCTACAAAGTTACATAATTTTAATATTATGTTTTTATGTTTAGAAGTTGCTGCTGCAACGACATCAATGCAAGACACTAATTTAATTGCCTTCTCCTCTTGCAGTGAAATATGTCGATCGTGAAGAATGCCCGTTTCTTGGCCGCACGCGGCGCTCGCCTTGCCCAGTCCCGTGCCTACTCGGACGAGATGAAGCTAACCTTTGCTGCTGCCAACAAGACCTTCTACGATGCCACCGTAGTGCGCCAGATCGATGTGCCCTCCTTCAGCGGAGCTTTCGGCATTCTGGCCAAGCATGTGCCCACATTGGGTAAGCCCCGCCGATTATATCACATTCGAATCCAATCGAAACCCTTCTAACTTGATCCAATGTTGTGCCCACAGCTGTGCTGAAGCCAGGTGTTGTCCAGGTTGTGGATAACGATGGCAAGACCACCAAATACTTTGTCTCCAGCGGCTCGGTGACCGTCAACGAGGACTCCTCCGTTCAGGTGCTGGCCGAGGAAGCTCACAATATCGCGGACATTGATGTCGCCGAGGCCAGACAGCTGCTCTCCAAATACCAGTCGCAGCTGAGCTCCGCTGGTAACGATAAGGTACGTCCTGGTCTTCCTTTCAACACACAATCAGAACTGTCCTCACTACCTGTCTGATTTTCTATTGCAGGCCAAGGCAGAAGCTGCCATTGCCGTCGAAGTTGCTGAGGCGTTAGTCAAAGCTGCCGAATAGACGTAATCACAACCACACAACACCCAAACAGCTAAAGCATTGCGTTTAAAGTAAATAAAAGAAAAACATAACTGAAGTGGTGGCCAATTTAAAAAACTGGCTGACATCCCCCCCCCCACGTTATGAAACCATAATAAAAAGCGAATAATAATATCCGAACTAATTACAAACCCGTGTGGATCAAACAAAAAACATCAATCGCATCGCATCGCAGCTCATCGACGAACAGATAACTGTTTTTTTTTTTGTGTTTTTTTTTTTGCATGTGTATTTTCTCGCCTTACACTGTGCTACATGGAGTGAGTTGAAAGGCTTCGGCCCTTTGGGGCTGGCTGTCGCAACATGCAAATCAGCTAAAAATTATGTTGAGCAAATCTTAAACTAAACGATTGACTGTAGAAGTGTGCGAGAGGGAAGTTACAGACACCTGTGCGAGTTATTGCTTAAAATTTGGAAAATCAGCAATCGGCAACAGTTGTTAATGCCTCCAAGTAGTGTCTAGAGTGCAACTGATCTGAGGAATCTTTAATCACATCTGCCTGTAAGCCCTTTCAAGCTGAAATATCTACAAGCTTATCAGAGGAACTAAACAGCAATTAACGTCAAACCATTTTACATACGTGATGAACAATCATTTTGCTGCACAGTGTTGTAGATTTGTATGGCTGGCTGGCTGCTGCGCGTGTGCGCATGCGCCACTCTCTCCCATACCGAAACGAAAGCCGAAAGCCGAAACCCGATCGGAAGGTCAAGTTTACAGCGCGCCGCTTTGTGGCTGTCGAAAGTGAGAGTGGGCCACACGGATTGAAAGTGTTTCTTTTCGGTTTATATTTTGTATATTTTCTAGCAAAAAAAAAATGGGTAAAAAAAATGACTTAAATTAACTCATGGCGTTGTGTAGGAAAAGTCGATAGAGGTAGTAGTAGTAGGTCGAAGGTCTTCCCGAGTCTCGAATGTGTGGGGTGCGGGGGTGTGTCTTGAAGTCGGGGAAACAGTCTTAGTAGGCTGGTGGGCCGTAGGTCTGGGCGGGCGCGTGTCCCACGGGCAGCAGTTGCTCCTCGGGCGCGAACACTGGTGCGGGTGCTGGGTGGGGGACGCTCAGGAGTGGTGCTGGTGCCTGCAGTGGGGCACTGTACACTTGTGCGGGAGCAGGGGCACCGTAGACTGGAGCTGGTGCGGGAGCAGCATACACTGGAGCCGGGGCAGGAGCAGAGTAAACTGGTGCCGGGGCAGGAGCATAGTTCACCTGCGGTGCGGGCGCATAGTTCACCTGAGGTGCGGGCGCATAGTTCACTTGAGGTGCGGGCGCAGCATAAACTGGAGCGGGAGCAGCATACACCGGAGCAGGAGCAGGGGCAGCATACACTGGAGCAGGGGCAGCATACACTGGAGCTGGAGCAGGGGCAGCATAGACTGGAGCCTCCTGGTAGGAAGTCACTGGAGCTGGTCCGGGAACATCGATGGGGGCGTATGCTGAGCCACCGCCAATGCCGCCCGAATGCTCATGGATGACGCGCACCACCTTGGCGTGTCCGCCCGAAATGGAGCCAGAATTTCCGCCGTAGGAAACACCAGCGTCGTGGCTCTCGTGGACCACCTTGATGACCTGCGACACACCCGACGAACCGCCGCCGCCGCCTCCAATGAAAGCTGGACCGCTGACCAGAGGAGCGGACTCCGACAGTACCTTGATCACCTTGACGGAGGTGGGGGCGCTGTAGACTGGGGCTGGTGGGAGGTAGACGGGGGCCGGACCATGGCTGGCGCCTTCGGAGATTACCTTCACTTTGTAGACCTGTGGTGCGGGCTCGTAGCCATAGCCGCCGGCATAGCCACCACCGCCGCCGCCTCCGGAGTAGCCACCGCCAGAGTAGCCGCCCTGCTGATGGATGACCTTGACCACCTGAACTGGACCGCCACCATGACCGCCATGTGAGCTGCCACCGTGGTAACCACCGCCGCCGCCACCGCCGCCTCCGGAATAGCCACCACCGCCGCTGCTTCCGCCGCCCAAGCTAATGCCGGCCTTGAGACTGCCGCCACCACCGCTGCTGCCACCGCCTCCGAGCAGACCGAGGAAGCCAGCGTTGGCCACAGCAAACAGAGCACACATACAAACGAAGACCTGGATGGGGCATAGAAGAAGGGTAGTGGTTATAGTGTGGCTATCCAGGATCCAGGGGTGGGTGGGTGACACTGCAACTGACACTCACCTTCATGTTAACTACTATTCCACTTGATTCGATGACAACGATACCAATATCGAAAGGTTCCTAACGCCTTGAGTGGTGATGCTCTTCAGAGACGACTGATGTCAGATCGAACGCATCACGACTCTTTTATACGATGATCTGATCCCAGCAAACGATGTAAGCGATCATAATGAAGTCCCACAATTCAAATTAGCAACGCAACAAAACAGCATAACACACGATCCAACGCATCCCCAACACATACCCAGGCCCAGAGACCCATAGACCCAGACCCAAACAAAGGCATTTCATTAACATTTCCAACGGTTCATCATCATCGAGATTGGAATCATCATCATGGATGTGGGCATCATGCCCAATGCCCAATGCCCAATGCCCAATGCCCATGCATATCATAATCATGCTGAAGATGATGCAAAACTCAAGTAGCAAACGGGGAAAGAAGTCATCGGATGGCTTTCATTTTCACTAGGCCGCACCCAGTTACTGGCCTCGGGTTCTTCATCCACATCTACCATGCTCCCTCCCATACTCCCATACTCCTATACTCTGCATTTCCATTACCCATTCCGATTTTTGGTTTTGTTGGATTTCCGATTTCTTTCCAGTTTCCAGCCTCGAATTTCGTAAAGCCCTTACGTTACGTTAGGCGAGTCTGCATTTCCGAAATTCCGAAAGCGGCTCCCACAATTAGCATGAAAATGGATCGAGTTGAGGTTGAGGTTGAGCCAAACCGAACCGAACTGAACTGAACTGAACTCATCGTAGCCGGGCGAGCGGGCGGGCGGGCTCACTGAACTGATGGTGATAAGGTGGGGCACGGGAGGGCCAGTGGTAGTGGCAGTGGCAGGCAGCATCGACAGCATCGACAGCATGTGGATTTCATATTTCGTTTTGTCATTTGCATAGACGCGTTTTGGCTCTTGCCTCATAAGCGGCGGCGGCTCGCTGTCTGTCCGTTTTTTTGAGCCATTAACTGAATCGAAACCCAACCCAACCCAACCCCAATTGGCCATGGGCCATGGGCCATCGCCAGCCCAAGCCCAAGCCACACAAGCACAGTTCAAGCCAATCCAATCCCACAATCATTTGGCTATTTCAAGGTGAATTTTGGAATCTAATTTTGTTCCGAAATCCGTTGTCAACTAGCCAGCCAGGGCAGCGCCGCGCAGCGGCTGCCCAATATTATGATTATGCAATTGGCTTCTCAGCCGTGTAAGACGCATCATTGTCTATCCAATGATCATAAAACGACAGCGACAACCATAACAAAGCAAAATACAACCAAAAAAAAACACAACAAGATCATTGAAAATCAGCCTCTAATTTGTGTGTGTGGATGTATTTATTGCTCAATGGACCCGTGGGCCTACCAGACAGATTGCTTCGAAAAACCACATTCCAATGCAGCCAACGATAAGTGCAAAATTCAGAATGCCATAAATTGATATTTAAGCAAAGTCACAGGAATGCTGGAGAGCGAGAGCCAACGGTAAATACATATGCAGATGGGGTAGATAAAGGCAGATACAAGCTTATATAATGATGAAATAATGGTTAAATGTTAAGTGTGTGTTTTTATGGGCCACAATAATACTATTTTTAGCAAATGTATTAGCTAAAAAAAATGTTCCGCCATTTTAATTATGAATTTTGTGATTAGAACAGACAAAATGAGTGGGGACAGGAAGAACAGGTGGAACAATTGAATCTGCTGGAACGGCTGGAACGGTATGAGAGCGGGTGAGCATGGGACCTGAGAAAATTCACTTTTACGGCTCATTTCAGTCTCTCTCAATCTCTAAGACCGCCATGAAACCTTATAGGAAATGGCTAAAAACCCATTCTACTATTTGGTTGAGTACTCCATGTGCAAATTATATCATTTTTCGATGTATTATAATTTATTAATAAACAAAAAAAAAAGGACAAAATTGATTTATACAAGAGTCAGTTATGTCAGCGGTCGCATAGATATCAGCACTATACTTATTTCTGCTTCAGCCAGCCACCGTAGGCCAGGGGTGAATCGTAGACGGCGCCATGTCCGACACGGACCACGGAGGGAACCACGGCCACGTTCTCGTAAACGGGCACATGACGGACGACGGGCACTGTACGCACAACGGGAACCTGGCGGATGACAGGTACGGTGCGCACCACCGGGACGGTGCGAACCAGTGGCACGGTAGCCACTGGCAGAGAAGCGTAGCCGCCTCCTTGGATGACACTGCATTGGGCTACGGCCAGGCAGGCGGCGAACAGCAGGCAAGCAATGAAGAACTGAAAGGGAGAGAGAAGGCGTATTATCCGGTTGCCTGTAGGGCTCTATCCTGTGGGGATGCACCACTCACCTTCATGTTGAGTGTTTTGGTTGATTGGTTGGTTGGTGGATGATTTGTGTTGATTTGTTTGGCCAAGACCGCGATCTTATATAGCGAACAGAACCCGAACCCCGTCGCATCGCTCGAAAGTAGAGCAATAAAACTGGCAATAGAACATAGTCAAACATAGAGGCAACTACAACACAACAATGTGAATGAATCAATCGGTATGCAAATTTTAAATCTTATACGCACATAAGTAAGATACTTGAGAGGTATTTGCCATTATTAGAGATACTACACCGCATTGGTGGTGGGCTCGCTTGGACGAACAATGCGAGGCAGCATCATATAAAAACGCCTTTCAAATGCCAGAACAATGAGAACTTGTTCCTGTCGCTAATGCCCAACAGGTGCCCAGGTGATCTCTGTGACGTGGGAGCTGCTTCCACTCCCATTCCATTGCCGATTTGTCGCCATTTGATGAATTCTTTTGAAAGGCAACAAACCACAGGCGCCTTCGGTGTGCAAATTGATTGTCTTGTCTGTTTAGAAATAGTTTTTGGGAGTTGTTTTTTTTTGTTTGAATTTTGGCTAAACTTTATTTATGAGCCCATTGTTCACGCCCTATTATGCTTTTTGGTTCAGCCAGCAAAAACCGCCAAAACCCATGCAAATTTATGCAAATTTAAACGATGCTTCCTCAATTCAATTCATTTGGCTGTGGCTTTTCCAAAAAACCCATTACAAAAAAGAAATATTTGTGCATATTCGTGTGTTTATTTTATAGCAAAAACCTGTTTGTAATATTGTCTTCTCTTCGTTTGGTTTTTGTTATTTTTAACGATTATTTTCTCCCACGCGCCTTGCTGACATGACACCTTGCAGCACTGAGAGAGCTTCATGTGCGTGCCGTTGCACAACATTGAAACCAAGCCCTCACAGCTGTTCGGTTGTATTTTCGCAGGTGTAAAGTTTTGGTATATTTTGAGAATGGGAAGCAGTGCTGTCGATTCCGCTTTTTTCCGTCGAATCTGGCTGTTTTTGAAGACCAACTGCGGGAAAAATTTTGCATTGCAGGAATTCTGGGCTTTTTGAAATGTGCTTGGCTTTTTTTTCGCTTTTTTTTTAATGTTAACAGGTTTGCTTTAAGTTTTAAGCAAACTATCATCTCTATACCAAATGTGGATTAGCATGTATGAATATTTACGAAATGCCAAAAGACTATAAGCAAAAGTGCCGCGATGCTTGGCTAAAGGCGAAGAATTCAATGTTTGGAGTCGCAAAGATGACACAAATAAGCATAACTGTATTGTAGCTACTGCAAAATCACTATCCCAAGTGCAATAATACCTGTCTGAAAAATCTTGTATTCTAAGTAATTTTTCAGCTTTTTTGTCTCTTGTCCAAGTAGAAATGTTGGCAGCACTGATGAGAAGGTAGATTTCTGAGAGTCAGGCGGTATATATTTTCTATAAGTCCGCGGTCACACTGCTCAGAGGGGGAATCGCAAAATTAATGCCAAAAATGTCGTAGTTAAAGGCAACAAAAGTGAATAAGTAATTAATAATCATATCAATTAGGCTGTTTTGAGACGCACCATGTCTGGGCACGGCAGCAGCAGGAGTAACAGGCACAGAAACACTTGCAACACCGCCAACATGGCGCACCTGCTGCAATGCTCTTGATGTTGACGTCAACAAAGTGAAATTCGAGTGCGCGGAAAAGAGAAACACAACACACACAAAACCAAGAACAGCTACGACAAAAGAAAATCGCTAATTGGAGCTTCAAAATAACTCCACTGGGGCATACACTGAAGGGAAATGTACTCTGAATGGGCCTCACTGTCGGCCCAGATTACGGCCAACAGCTGCGGGGCGCAATGCTTCAGTGTGCTGAACAAGTTTCCAGCTTCGGCTGGACGGGAAGTGGTCGTGTCGGTGGTCAGGCAGCTGGGCACCAATCTGGGCATCACACAGAATGCCGAGCCAAGCCATTTGGTCAAGGATGAGGAGGTGAGCAGCAATTGTCCGATCTGGCAGTGAATCTCACACTTGTCGCACTCTCCTCTTCCCGCTCTAAAGGTAAAGTGGTGCATGGACGTAATCTGCTTTGGGCTGTCGCTGCCCCTGCAGGAGCACGAGACCATCAAGGACTGCGTGAATGTCTACTGCGAGTGGCTGACTGCCTTGCATCCACAGCCGCGCATCAGTGTGCCGAAGCCCATATGCGAGGATGCCAATCTGTATGCGCGCCAGATAATCAATCACTTTCACAATCTCTTTGTGCCGCGCCAGGGCGAAAGTAAGTAAACACAGTTGCCAATCGATCCAGCCATCCACCGATCCGCTGTCTATTGCCGCCACTGCCCATAAATGTCCACTCTCTGTCTTATGTATTAATCCCCATCTAAATTTCAAGTCTTGCCATTTCTATACCAAACCACGCTTGGTAGGTTGCTCGAACTTTTTTACGTACACTGCATACGATGCGGCCTGCGGCCGTGCTGGGATACTGACGTCTTTAATGTATATTTTTGCTGCCCATTCCAGGTGCAGACACCATCAAGCGGCAGGCGGTGCTCTGTCATCGGGTACTGCGCACCCTGCAACAGACAGCGCAGATTTCGCAGCTAATGGATCGCCAGACTTGGGATACGCTGCTGCTCTTCCTTCTGGCCATTAACGAGATACTACTGGCGCCGCCCACCGTCAAGGATGATGTGGGTGATCAGCTGTGCGAGCGTGTGCTCTCCGTGCTCTTCGAAGTGTGGCTGCTGGCCTGCGTTCGCAGTTTCCCATCGCCTTCGATGTGGAAGACGCTGCAGGAGTCGTGCTCCATGTGGCGTCATCGCGTGGCCCTTGTCGATCAGTGGAATCGTGTCAACTTGGCCCTGACGTCCCGACTACTCGAGTTCAGCTATGGACCAGCGTTTCCCCAGCTCAAAAATGGTTTGTGCCGCAAGATCTTCTCTGGCAATGTACTTATGCAGCTCTCTGCCATCCACAGCCGACGAGGATGGCCAGCTAATACCCGTTGGCATGTCGAACGATTGTGTGGCCCAGACATGGTATCGCTTCTTGCGTATGATCGGCAATCCCACGGCATTCTGCTCACCGCACATCATCAGCAAATCGTCGCACTTCGTGCAGTGGGCACTTACCCACGAGAAGGGGGCCGAGACGCACCAGCATCCGTGTCTGCAGTTGCTGCCGCAGATCTTTCTCAACGCAATGAAGGGCATCTCCAGCCAGGTGGATGCGTTTCTGGGTAAGATCCGAACTGCAACAACCTCACCGAAATCACCTACGACATAGGCTTCAGTAGCAATAGTTTTTGTGGTAGGCTAGCCGCCCAGTATTACTCTATCTCTCTCTGTCTCTCTCTTTCTTGTTCGTTTGTTCATCTCGCGCTTATCTAACCCAAAAACTTGTATTTAAAACGAACAAACAAAAAAAAAAAACGAAATTTGCTGCTTGAGTAGGCGTTTATCAGCCACCGCCACACCAGACGGATAATGTCGTGACGAATCTACTGGAAATACGGCACTCGCTCAACGAGGCCACCTCCTCCACGCTGCAGCAGTTCATCCACTCGAGCAGCGCATCGAATATATCGGCGAATAGCCAACAGCAGCTGCAGGGCTCCGCCTCGCAACAACTGCAGCTCCAGCTGCAGCATCAGCATCTGCATCACCATCATCTTCACTATCCGCACTTGCATTTACATGGCGCTGGCAGCTTTCTGCGCGACAATTTCATGAGCAACTCGGCCAGCTCGGCCCTGAACGCCATCATGGGTCATCACGGTCACCATCAGCATCAGAATCAGCAGCAACAGCTATCACTCTCCCAGAGTGGAGGCTCGCCCACGTCAAGCGCCATAGCTGCCAGTAATTTGGGACACTCGACGGGGGCCTCTGCCGTTGGAAGCACCAGCGCTGGTGGCAGCCATTCGGCCGGAGTCGTCGGTAGCATCTCCTTTAGCACGGCTGAGGCCAGCCTGGCAACGACAGCTGCCTCGAGCACGCCCACACCGCCTCTACAGCGACGATTGGCCAAGAGTTTTAGCGTGGCGCCCACCATAACGCAGCAGAAGGGTGCGAACTCGTCCTTAGATTCCGTAGAATGTTTTACTCAATGTTGTTTTTGTATTGTAACCTGGCAGAAAGTATTCCACATAGTCTATGGATTTACTATCGATGTGTTAGCTCGGATTCGATAACTAAAAATCAAAATGTCGAACAAAAGAGATCGTGTAGCTATAATTAATCTATGCCTATGTCAAAGGACTTAATGCATATAAAATCGAATCTATTTTGCTGTCCGAATAGGTGTCCTGAAGGAGTCACATGAAAAACTGAACATTCCGATCATCCGAAAGTGCTGATTGGTAATTAATGGATTAATAATAATCTGTAATACAATTTTCTAGAGCATCGATCCATGGATTCATAAAAATCCAATCAATCTTATCTCTTCATTAGAAATAACTCAATGGTTCAACCGAAATCCATTCATAGGTGGAATCATACTGATCTGCCAGGGTTATTGGGCCTTCGGATCACCGAAGTAAACTTCATTTGTCGTGCATTTTATTTGCTTTGCCTTAATATGATATGTTTTGCTTGCCTAGATTGTTGAATTGATCCTCCATTAATGTATTCGCCATTAGCTTTAAGATCAGTTCATGTTTTAGCTTCAGCTTCGCGACGACACGAGAGCACCTTGCCTCGGGGCACACCGCACCGTGAACCGCGCGCACCGCATGCACGTTTTGCATTTAAGTTTTTGTATAATTTGTTCCATAGCATGAGTGGAATAATCTGTGTGTAATTGCTCGGAGCGCGGGGGGATGTGGAGTGGATGGAATGGAATGGATGTGTTTGGGAATGGCTGAGTGAAAGAGTAACTGTTTCCACTTTCCAACTGCCATTGAATGCAGTGCCATTACATCGCATCGCATAATATCAGATTCCCATTCCCATTAACATTACCATTCCGGTCCCGGTCCCGTTCCCGGTCCCGAGCCAGGCATTATGCATTGTATTTTATCTATTGTACGCCCACAATTAATGCCAACCACGTTGCATGTGTGGCATCGGGCAGTCCATGCCATGTACATGTACCTCCTATCCGACTCTGCCGCGCTACTAATTTCTCACACTTGCTCTGCTCTACTCTACTCCACTGCTCTCTCCACAACACGCACATTCCAACTCACAACACCACACGAATGCTTTGTGCAGGCTTGAGCAAAACCTCGCTTATCGGCCTCACGGGGGGCGGTGCACGCAGTGCGATCGGCAGCAGCACCAGCAGCAGCTATATCCACAGCAGCGGCTCGACGAGCGCTGGCCCCGTCCAAGGCTCTGGTGGTGGTGGTGGTGGTGGTGGTGCCAGTTCTGCCCCTGGCAGTGGCAGTGGCAGCACTGGCATTGGCCCTGGCTCCGGTTCTGGTTCTGGTTCTGGCTCTGGTGGCCAGGCACCGGCTCCGGCCTCGGCTGCGGCACCCACAACGCCAACATCGACATCGGGTCCGCCCTCGGCGAGCAGCAGCATCAACTGTAAGTGTTGTGCGAAACATTTGTCGCTTCTGAAACAATCTAACAGATGTTTTCCTCCTACCTTTCCCCTCTCTCTCATCCTCTGTCCCTTTCTTTCTTTCTATCACCCTCTGCACTGCTGCTGCTGTTGCTGCTGCTGCTGCTCTGCTTTGCGTTTTCAGCTCTGCCACTGACATCGATGGGAGCTGGCGCTGAGCTGGCGGTGGCGCGGCCAAAGTGTAACAGCATTCTCCACGTATTCCACGAGTGGCTGTTCGAGGCGGCGCACATAGGTGGCGATACCTGGCGCCAAAATCGCAAGAGTAAGTGAACCCAAAGCAGCCGATGCAGGAGGAGTGCCGATGAGTGCACTCATATATCAACAAACCTTTTTTTTCTTCGTCTCGCACACAGAGCAGGCATGCGAGGCTAGTAAGCGGCCATCGTCGATGATAATGGAGCACCGCAAGGGATCCATTTCGCTATCGCAGCCCAACTCGCTGAACGATCCCGCCTCGCTGCCGCCCACGCTGACCATCGACAAGTACGAGTCGGGCCGGGCGGAGGCCATTGGCACACTGTGCAAGATATTCTGTGCGAAGAAAACTGGCGAGGAGATCCTGCCGGTGTATTTGGCCCGCTTCTATATGGCCCTGCAGCAGTGCCTAAAGATCACCGAGTCGAAGGAGTGCGATGAGACGCTGGCCAGCATTCTGCTGCATTCGGGTGATCTCTTTCGCCTGGATCTGGATGGGATCAATGTTCTGCTGCCCGGTTTCATCGCTGCCCTGGAGATTGTGCTGCCCGACAAGGATCTGAAGCTGAAGACGCAGTCAATGGTATTCAATCGAACGGAGCTGCGGCGCTCGGCCATCAACATACTGCTGTCGATAATGGTGCTGCCGCTGCACTATCAGGCACTGCCCATTCGAGATCTGTCCAGCGAGACGAGCGAAAAGTGAGTGAAAATGCGCAAAAAAGGGAATTTCGCTTATCCTTCTCCTTCGTCTCTTTTAGGATGTTCACGTTCATCCAGCTCAAGTCGCGTCTCATGAACATTCTGATGAACGCTCTGCAGGTGGAGACAGATGCCCAAAACACACACATGCTGCTGGGCGGCCTGCTGTTGTGCGTCCAGGATGCCGTCACCTTCGAGGAGACGGATATGGGCGGAGGCTCGGGCGCCACTCATATGCACAACTCTGGCGGTGCCCAGCACCATGAGGCCAATCTCCTCAGCTCGGGTAAGGTTGCCGGACACTGGAGGTGATCTGGATCAGCAATTACCTCTTGATTTGATTTTTTACAATTTTTTTGTTTTTATTTAATTGCCATTTTTTGTATATATTTATTTTTTTTTTTTGCATTTTTTGTAATCTCTTTTTGTGCTGTGTGGCACCACGAACAGCTTGCTCGGAGCGTTCCGCTTCGCTGGTCAGCACCGGCACGGCCAGCTTGGGGGCCCAAACGACGGCCACCATGGGAGCTGGTTCGGGCTCCATACGCGACACGGCCTCAGCCCACGATTATCCAAGTTTGACCATCTCCGATGACATGTCATTTGAGTTTGGCCAAGAGCTGGAGGGCGTGACCACATATGGTAAAGAGATTTCTATTTGTTTTTTGTGTGTGTTTATTTGTGTTTTTTTTTTTCTGTGTTTGTTCGCTTCTGTGAATTGGGATCTAATCTGCTGTTAGTCCCTCGGATTATACTCAGGTTTTTTCTCGCAATCCTTTTTGTTTTATCGATCATTAAGTGATCAGCGCTCGATACTCAAATTGAACACAAATATTCTGTCAAATCTTCTAGATAATGCCCATGCTTTGTTTGTGCGGGCCACGTATTTGGTCTGCCATCGGCTCATCTCGTCGTGGAAAACGGACTTGAATGTCTCGCTGGCCGCCCTGGAGCTGTTGTCCGGCTTGGCCAGGCTCCATATACGGGAAACAGGTAGCGTGTCCTTCTCTCTAATTAAATGTGCATGCACGGTTTTGGTGTAACTCATTCCCTTGCAAAGCCATTCTATCTACTAAAAACTATGCTAATCTCCGCTTGTCCGTCCGCCAGCTGTGCTCTCCGCGTCGCAGACTTTCTATTAGAGACTCGGTAGACAGCTGCTGGCTGTAAGGATCAAGTGAGATGTTTTTTGAATAAATTAAATCGATTTTAAAAGACTTAATTTAATTAGGCTCACAGAACTTATGGCCTATAGCTTAGGGGTACACGCTGTGATGGGTGTATTTGTTCGTTAATTATATTGTGGTGGGATCTTGAATGAATTTGCAAGGGAATTTGGCATTCGAAGCTGCGATTAGCCCGTGGCTACTCTTCATTTTCTGGTGTTAATGTCTCGTTGTTTTCTGTCGTCTTTTATTTGTTGCTCGTTTGTTTTACGGAATATGTCGTATGTGCGTGCGTACTTCCACTCCCACTACCCCGCCCTCTTCCACCTGGTCCTCTTTGTAACTGTAACTATAAAAATATCCCCTATCCCCGACCCCCACCTTACCCGCTGTACGTACAAATCCCCAACCCCAAAACCTCAACCACTTGGACTGTCTGTGCTGTGCCAACTTTTGCTTTTGTGTGAAAATTCTATGCGGCAGCCAGGAAGTTTACAAATGGTAATTGATTGAAATGCTAACAAACCTAACTAACGCCACTTTTTCTGTCTTTCTTTCCTTTCTTTCGTTTTTTTTTTAATGCGTTTCTTTTCTAACCGCCCGAACTACCCCCGTCCCAATAACCACTTCACCTGCGCAACATCAAAAAACAAAAAAAAAAAAAAAAATCCACCCAACACTCATCCACAATTGATAATTGTCATTATTTTCTATATATTTCGTTTGTATTTCCTGCGGGACACCCAAATAATACACACACAACACACCCACATCCACAAATACCAATGTAAATAACCTCGAAAACACACACCTGAACCACACCTGAACCACACCTGAACCACACCACAATTCACAAAACCCACAACCCACCTTAGACACATTAGTGAAAATATACGAAGCTAGTCAGAATCTAACGATAATCTCCTCAGACGCTCTAGAGTGCAAGCGGGCCGTGAAGTGGATATGCGACTACATATGCTATCAGTGCTCGCGGCCGCCGCCGGCACACAGCAAGGATCTGCATAGCACAATAGTGGCTGCCTTTCAGTGCACCGCCGCATGGCTGATGCAGCATCCGTATCTGCTGCAGGATAAGGACTGCCTGCAGACAGTTTTGGAGGTGGTCGAACTGGGCATATCGGGCACCAAGAGCCAGAGCAAAAGCGGCGATATACCCAAATTTAAGGATGAGAAGGAGCTGAAACCCGCCTCCATGAGGGTGCGAGATGCTGCCGAGAATCTGCTCACAATCATACTCGAACAGGTTGGCTATTTTCCCAGCGAGTGTGGCCCTGAGTCCATTTCGTCACTGCTCGATGAGCTGGCACTGATGAAGCACTGCAACTCGATGGTGCCGGCGGCGGCGGCAAGCACCGAGCAGGCCATTGCCAAGTTCAAGTATTTTGTGACGGAGAACTCGACGATATTGGCCCTGCTCGAGGAGCCCTTGGGCAATGATCAGGATCCGCAGCCAACAGTGACACGTAAGTCGCTGAGCTGAATCAGTCTCTTTAGACTTATAATTATAATTCCCTGTTGGACAGTGCTGATACGTGGACCATTTGGACGACATGCCTGGACGATGCAGCTGCGACATCTTCCACGCAGCAAGTCGGGCATCAAGTACCACGCCATCAATCCCGGCCGGCCCATTCCCATGAACGATATTAGCCAGAGGCCCGAATGCGAGCAGAAGAACTTCCCCGATGGCGTTGACAAGGTGCAGCCCTGCGTGGCCGACTATTCCATACCCACCATCGATCAGATCCGCGAGCAGTATGGATCCGCTAGCATACGGGAGCTGGAAGCGATACTCGAGAACCAGAGCATCCACGAGAAGCTGGCCTGGGCCGAGGCGGACAACAGTGTGGACAGTCTGTCGCATTCGCAGGAGTGCGTGCCGCCGCTGGTGTGCCAAGAGTTCCATGCCGCACGGCTATTCCTTTCGCACTTTGGCTTCCTCACGTTCGAGACACGCAATCCGCACAATCCAGCGGAGTCGCTTGGGACGCCGCCGCAGCGACCCCTCATTGTGCTGGACACCAAGTCGACGGCATTTGCCGCCGATCTGGACAGGCTGGATAAGCTCAGTGCCCGCACCCATGATACCGTCTATGTGTTCTATGTAAAGGTGGGGAAGCAAACAAAATTTCTATTCGTATTTGCCGATTTAAAACATTTTAATTTGTATTCGTTACGTATTCAGACGGGTCAGACAAGTGCCCAGCAAATAATTGGCAATATGGTCGAGGAGACTTCCCTCAGCTATGATCCGCACTTTGCCGGTATGCTGCAGACGCTTGGCTGGCCGGTACTGGTGGCCGATCACTCTGGCTGGACGGGCTTTGCCCACAACTCCTGGTCGCTGAAGGGAACGCCAGAGGAGCAGCAGATGCAGCAGATGCAGCAACTGCAGCAGCTTAAATCCAATGTACCCAGCGAACTCAATTACAATGGGTCACAGCGTGTGCTCTACTGGGCAGATGTCTCGTCGGAGATTGCTTTCGTGGTGCCGACCACGTGGAATCTGCGCTACAACAGCGACACAAGCGATGGCGGCAGCCTCTCCAACAGCGATCAGATCGGATCGAGCAATGTGTGGGCACGCTGCGAGTCGGATACGGGAACTGGCGCAGCCAAGTCTAAGCCACGCAATCTCAGCTTGGAACTGGACACTGGCACCGGTCGAACACAAAAGGATCCTGTGCCACCAACGCGACGCAAAGGGAACGTAACCAAGCCGACGCTGCTCGCTCAGGCGCCTGCCAAGATCTTTCTGGTGTGGCTGGAGAGTTACGAGGACTACCTGAACTTCCCGCTGGAGGATCTACTCGCCTACACGCGCACTGGCGAGGAGCTGCACTCGCTCCAGCAGCCCCGTGCCGCCGACTGTCATGTGATCTTCGTGCACTCGCTTATGTCGGGACTACTGAGGGTCAAACTGCAGGGCCCACCCGGTCGCATGAGCTTTGCTACGCCCCTAGTCGATGGCATGGTGCTGAGTCGCCGTGTCGTAGGCAATCTGGTGCGTCAGACGGCCCTAAACATATCCCGACGACGGCGACTGGACAACGATAAGTACGATTGAGTGACGGGAATCTTTTTAAAAGTAAATTATTCGAATTATTCTTGATTTTTTTTGCAACAGCTATCAACCGCCTCATGTGCGACGGCGCTTGAAGGTGCAGGACATTGTCCAGAAGTACAAAATGGATTTGAGCGAGGCCGAGCTGCTGGCCCATCTGTTCCAGCGTGCAATTTAGCCGGCGTTAGCAACACAAGTATTTACTAATCTAGGATTAACACCACCACCAAAATGGCTTGTCCATGCCTGTATTATCGTGTGCTTAACTAAAATATACCCCCTCTAGCCCCACCTACGCGTGGGCAATCGGTGTGGGTACACACTGCGAGGGTCTGCCTACGACACTGATCGATGGACTCTTGCAGTTATTCTAATTTGTATTTATATTTTTTTTTACTAATAAATCGAATTATTGTACTTTTTAAAAGTATAATTATGTGTACGGAAATCATTCATGCCCCGTCTCCGTCTTGGGTAATCTTTTCATCTGTGAAGAGGAAACAAGAGCAAGTAAGTGGGTCAAACATCCGAAATGAATTTGGCCCACGGCAATGTGACACACAGCCGAAAAGATCGCATCGCTACATTGTAAGCAAAGTGAAAGTAAAACCACAAAATTTAATTTATGTAACATGTAAATCGTATGAATATAAATCAATTGCATATGGAGTAAGTAAAATCCCTGCAGCTGCACTGCATAACGACAGGAGTAATTATGGTTCTAATCGGAGTGTGTTTGCCATCCCAAAGTTACGTATTTGATACATCATTAGTGGGTCATTGGCTAAGAGATCGATCCCATCAAATGGGAAATCAATTAAAGATGCTTCATAAATAAATACTTTAGGCCGAATTTACGCGTGTTTTCTTGGAAGGTCGTGAGGGGTATCTCACGGTTCGGTGCCCAATGGCACAGCCGCAGACCTGCGTGGAAACGTGGAAACTTCCCCTCTGATTTGTGGAATTTTGTAAGCTTTGGAATTGGGTTTGCAACGCCTTCGATGGTTAATCAATTCAAACTGTTGCTGGCTGAGGCTGCGGCTGCGGCTGCGACTGCGGTTGCGGCTACGGCTACGACTGAGGGCCATCAGCGAGCAATGAAAGTCGTGATATAATAATAAAAAGAAACCCCCACAACAAGTTACAGATCACCGTTTTGTTTTGCATTTCGTTGATGTATTTATTTATTTATTAAGAAATAATTTAAATTAACAATGAAGAGGCGGTGTGGCCCATGGGGTGTTTTCTTTTTTGTACTTTGGTCACAAGGCAATGACTGTGTGAAGGACTAGCCTATGAAAAAAAAAAATATAATAGATAGTTTATAGTGGATAGAAAAAAAAATTAATTTGGTCTAGCTAACTAAGCTGGCAGCGAGGGGGCAACTACCAGGCAGAAGAAGGGGGACCACCGCTGCTCCAGCCACCGCTGGGAGCGGAGCCACCACTGCTCCAACCGCTGCTGGAAGCGGAGCCAGCGTTGCTCCAGCCACCTCCACCATGGGAGGAGCCGCCGTTGTTCCAGCCACCAGCAGCAGCGCCAGACTGCACCTTTTGCTGCTGATTGTCCTGCACACGCATCACCTTCAGAGTTCCGCGCTGCACAACGTGACCGCTCTTGAAAAAGGCGCCCTGGGCCTGATCGGCCTTCATGATGATGGCATTGCCCTTGCTGCCGTAAGCATTGATCAGCTGCCCGTTGATGGCACCCACATCAGCTGAACCGCCGCCGCCGAAGGCGTCCTCTTGCAGCACCAGCTGGAGAATCTGTGGCAGTATGGCATTAAACTGCTGCACATCGTAGGAGGAGGATCCGCCATAGCCGTGGCCAGAAGCATAGGACTGCCCATAGGAGTGGGACGACTGACCCTGGCCATAGGAGTAGCCACTGCCGCCGCCGCCGCTTACTGCATGGTAAGCAACTGGAGCAGGAGCTGGGGCTGGGGTTTGCTCGATGACTTTGAAGACCTGCTCCTGCTGACCGCCATAGGAGCCGTGGCTGTGGCTGTGGCCGTGATCGTGGCTGTGGCCGGTTGCATAGCCATGTCCGTAGCTGTGTCCACTGGCCACGATGCCTCCAGCTGATCCACCACCGTTGCTGTAGCCTTGGCCCTCTTGCAGAATGACCTTGATGATCTGGGCTGAGCCTCCGCCACCACCGCCGCCGCCTCCATGCGAATAGCCGTGACTATGGGCATATCCGTGTCCACCGCCTCCGCCGCCGCCGTGGCCGCCGCCGCCATGACCTCTTCCTGAGCTGGGCGTGGCAATGACATTGTATGTGGTCTTACTTCCTCCACCGCCGCCGCCGCTACCGCCGCCGCCGCCCAGTAACGACAGGAAGGTGGCATTGCAGGCACAGACCGTGGCCAAGAGGCAGATAAAGACCTAGAGTAACCGTTCCGTTTAGTATATGGTATGGTATATCCGTTCGTTATCCAAATTGCGGGTACTAATCCGATGATCCACTCACCTTCATGTTAGCTGAATCCGTTGACTCTCTCTGAGATTCTCTAATTGTGTGTGGAAGCGGTGTGGAAGGAACACCTGTGCGCGTCGAGCTGTTCCCGGTAGGTGAATGATGCCAGCTTCGAGCTTCCCGTAGCTTTTATACATAGATCGGATATGGATATTTCCCCATTGCCCACTCCCGTTAGAGGCAACGCAACGCAACCCGCAACCCGTAGCCCGCGAGAGATGGCAATGGCCATGGAGATGGAGAGATGTGTGACGTCAGCGATGAAGAGCTGCCGATACGGGATTCATCATCGTAGGCTACTCTGCTGCGCTGCTCTTGCAACTCACATGGAGATGGCGATGCTTGAACACACGCACGCATCTGAATGGGGCCGGCCTCCTCCTCCATACAGGGTGCTGTGTGTCGGAGCCAATCAAGAAGAAAGAACACAAAACTGCACTGGTGGTCGGAGATACATATATATGTATATCATATGTACGTAATATTTGCACCTTCACATTCGATCAATCCCGGACAATGAAAGCTTAATAAGACACCCTTTACGTCTTCATCTATTTCTTCAATGGCCAAATAATATGCAACACTAACAACGCCGGCGGACAAGCAAACAAAAACAAAAACAAAACAAAAACTGAAAACTACAAGAAGATAACACAAGCCTAGAGGGGGTTGGAGGGGGGCTTCGTGGGTCAAGCAGGGCAGAGGCCCTCCCACCCCCTACCATACCACAAAAATATCAAGCCGCGACGTCGACGGTGGCGCAGACCGCAACCGCGACTGACCGGCTCTTTGCATACGATTATCGATTTGGGCGCATCGTTGGGCTTTGCTCTGGGTGGCTAACGGCCATCGCGTCGGATCGGATCGGATCGGATTGGATCTTCATCTGTGCCTCTTGGGTCGTTCCGATTGCAACAGCTCTTCGTGTGCTCGGGCTCAGGCAGCTACACTCATAGCTCATACATACATACATACATACATACATACATATGTACATGTGTCGATTGGCCCAATCTTTTGCGCTCTCTGGGAAACAAACGGATTGGCACCGGGACCGGAGTCGAGGCGACAGCCGGATTATTATATCATGCAACATAATTTGAAATTTGTTAATTTTGTGTGCATTTTTGTATAAATTATTTAATGCGCGCTGTTGCGCATGTTGTTGCCCCGACTCCAGACCGGACCAGACCCTCAGACCCCCAGACCCACAGACCCCCAGACCCCCAGACCCCCAGACCCAGTAGTCTCTTTTGCTCCTCTCTTCTCTTCGATTTGCTGATGACCCGTTACCGGCTCGTTTTTCATGGCGCGTTCAGTTTCAGCTTCATCTGAAGAGCATCAAAAGCAGCAACAACAAGCACACACATTTTGGAAGCGATCGGCATTTTAGCACCTTGGTGTTTTTGTGCTGTAGCTGTTTCGGATGTTGATCACAAAGCAGCTGGTTGCTGGTTGTTGGGGCAGGCCAGTCGCTGGTCTCTGAATGGAAATCGGACTGATCATAATGAGGATGATTTGACGTGGTGTGTGCAAATACTTTAGCTGATCAATGGCCCATGGCCCATGGCCCATGGGCCCGGCCGGTCAGCCCCGACGCTTGACTCACCTTATGCAACAAACAGCATATGGTTTACGATATGTCATATACATGCCTACATATGTATGTATGTATGTATGTACATATATTTAAATGTGTTTATTTAAATGTTTTCTGACCAAAATTCCTTACGCGATCAAATTTCGAATGTCCACAGTATGATGAAGTTGGTCGGTCGTATTTGATCATATTTTGTAAATGAAGCAAAGTGGAATTCCAATCAAAATATTAATTTTATACTAATACAAACTAATTCCGATATTATTAAACCTATAGGGAGAAGTCCATTGTAGTCAGAACCCACTTCGAGACGAAAAAACTATGGCTTCAGCCAGGTCTCAGCAAACACAATAACGTGGAATAAGAATGATAGAATATCCAGGACAGGGTAAGCCTTTAGCATTCAAGTAGGCACACAAATTGAACTTCGGCTTAGCGGAAGTAGACCGGGAAAAGGGAGTCTTATGGGTGGCTTATCCGTGATTGAATCTGCTTGGACAGAATACAACGGCAGCTAAATTTTTCTGACTATTAAGATTAAACGAGAAGGAACGTGTGAGTCGCTTCTGTGGACGCGAATTTACTTTTATACCCGTACTCAGTCAGTCTGTATATACCTCTTGTTTTGCTCGCCACTGCAAATTTGTGAGCTTATGATTTATGTAGACTTTTAAAATATTTTAGATTTTAAATTTTTTTGCTACACCTGTTATCTACATCTACACTGTCGATTACACATCGAAAATGTAAATTATACATCTACAATGTAGATTCTACATTTTTTCGCACTGGGCTCAGTGGCAAAGTTTGCATCTATACCGATCATGTAAGCCCGAGGACGGGAAATCCATAAAATATTTATTATCAATGAACTCATAAAAAAGTACCTCAATGGAAGTAGTGGCGGGTATCAACACAACAATTGAGAATGTTACAAACGATTTCATTGGGTGGTTGCCAAGAATCTGTAACTGATTGGATCCGTCGATGCGACCGTTGTGCCAAATATACATGCAATATATGCAATATAACAATAACCATTTCAATTGCCATATGCAAGCAAATTTTTCGGAAAGCGACGAAACTCGCGCCATCTCGCTCGCACAAATTTGAGAGCGTAAAAATCTAAAAACAGAATGCGCTTTCATGTATGAGTACACACAGAACCAGCAAGTGCGTATGTGTGCGTACTTGTGCTATGCGACTCGGCTCGGCTGCCGCAGCGGCAGAGAACCAACTTCGTGTGCCTTCGTATGCTGTATGCATACAAGTGAGCGGCTAGCTCTAGAGCACTCTCTCTGGCTTTTGAACAACATTTTAAGAGAGCCTGGAGACAGCTCTAGAGTCTAGACTCTAGAGCCAGCCGGAAAAATTCGTGTGCAAAAATTTCGTGTGGCGTTATGCATCTTATTGTTATATTGTCTTTGGTTGTGCTATGGCAAAAGGGCCACACACTAGAAGGCACAGAAAAATGCGGCAGTACAATTTCGGAGCACCGTTAGAATAGCAATGGATGTAGCGGGTCCATTCCCTGACAGTGACAGTGACGCAAGACACACCGATAACCTTGCTTCAAATCAGAACATGAGACATTTTTTTTGTGCCCGTGGAAATAAATATTTGCTCGATGTTAGCAACTATTTTAGCAAATGGCCCGAAGTAACCCGATCCCAAACCAAGATGCATCGACAGTAACGAACTTCAATTGGGTACCTAGATACGGCGTTCATATGGAATTACATTCTGATCAGGATCGTATTTTGAGTCTCATGCAATCTAGGAGAACTTATTGGGGACGAACAAGCTTCGGCAGAGGGCAGTGTAATGAAAGGGCTAATCTATTAGGCGAACTATACTAGGTGTGTTGGGTTGTCAGGCCTTTTCACCAATAACAGTCAGTCGGAGCTCACAGATTGTTCGGAACGGAACCTTAAATCTCTCGGAAAGAAATCATTCGTTTATAATACAAAATATCACTTTGTCTCCGTTTCTCAACCTTGAATTCGAATTGTAAAAACGTAACAATAAATATATATGAGATGATTTCATTTATCGGGTCAAGGTATTGACGGATGAAACCTTGAAGAGCGATTTCCTCGTGTTTTGGAAACTTTTGCATATATTGCTGGTTGGCAAAGCGCGCGATTGGTGCTCGGAATTTTGTGCGCCATATGCGTGATTCCAGCTGCAAATGGACTGCGAGGCCACATGAAAATTTCATATGTCCTCAGGCTGTATACCGACTTTTAATGGATGAAATTCCTACCCGGAATAAGGATGGGCTTAAAGATGTCACTGATGTCGTGCAACAAACTAACACCAAATAAGCGACTCATCAAATGTTTGATTTTTGGAGCAACAGGAAACAGCGAGAAGAAGCGAATCCAGTTGTCCAAGGAGACGATACAAAGCCGATATTGAGACGTGTTCAAAATGCCGCCGACTGCACGGCTGAAATTCGTCCCAAATCCGTGTCCAGGGGTCGCTTGGGATGTGGCTCAGTGCAACTGAACCACTCCATTCAAATGGCAACTAATTTCTAACCAATTTGGACACTTATGACGAACAAATAAAGTCTATAGGTATAAAAGTACATTGAAATTTGTAAATTGTTGGGTCCCAAAAATATTTGCTTATATTTTAAATTCTATTTTATTTGCAAATTATGTAAAAATAGAATATTCGGTATTAGAAGGATTAGAAAACTCCACTCATGAAAATATTATAAATGGAGCATATATCCAGTGGTGAAGCAGCTACCTCAGTTTAGTCAAGAGAAATAAGTATCAAATAAGAATATTAGGTGGAGGAGAAATACGTCTGAACAGGCCAGAAAATTTTCGAGCAATGTCGAAGAGCCGTGGACGTCGACCCTTAAATATGTTCGGCAGTCGACGTCCTCTGCTAGAATTTCTGTCGACGCCAGTGCTGACCACTTTTAATCAGAAAAAATCTGTTTTTAGATTTTAAAAAAAGCTGAAAACTTTCAGAAAAAATACAAAAAAATAACGTTTTTTATGGTTCTATGTGGACGCGACTCTACTCAGCCAGTATATAAATTTGTAAACTTATGATTTATGTAGAATTTTAAAAATATTTTACATTTTTTTGCTACATTTTTTATCGTAATCTTCATCTGTCTATTACACATCTGAAATGTAGTTTATACATACACAATGAAGATTCTACATTTTTTCCGCAAAGGTCGCGCACTGCACAGGGCAGAGAGTGTGCAAGCGGGAAAGAAAATGAGTAGCGTCAGCAGCGCTGGAGGAGGTGGGGAAGCAACTGAAAATTAAATTCCTTATTCTAGCTTTAATAATGATCCGATCTAATTCAGATTCGGCAATATGGTAGATATGGTTATTCTCTACGATACTGCGACTTTAGTTTTCTTGTATCTTCAAAATTGTGGCTGCCACAGATTTGCGTTCTTTGTGGTGGCGAAAGGGGACGGGGCGAAATTTAGAAATACACTTTTAGCAGTGTGGTATCACATAAGTCTGGAAATCAAATTTGGTTGCTCTTGCTCTTATAGTCTCT